ACGTGTATTTGCCATTACACATTGTGCACACATGCAGCGCACGTGATTTACTTCGTCTGCAGTCAGTCCACACGGTATGGACGTACGTACGTACGTTAACATCGTATTCGTATCATACAACGTGGTGAGGAGAAAACTTTCATGACAGTTTCACTGCCAAAACTTGTGCCCGAACGGATTCTTGGGATGATTTCTTGAACACTATCAAACGAATGTACCGAAAAGATGAGGACAATATGAGATTCGAGGGGCCTATTTTGAATGTAAAGACTAGTGAATGTAAAGTGGACCGTGCTCCGGAAAACGTTATGGATTGACGTGACCAGCGTAAGTTCGTGGGTCGCCCGCCCGCAGCGCTTCTTGGCTAGGCACGCTGATTGCACCATTCTTCGCTAGAAATGCATGGCGCGCGCGAGAGATGTTTTTTTGAAAATACTGGCCTTCTCACTCATTTTCAAACAAGTTAAAACAGTTCAGTTACTAACTTGGTAAACTCCCATTAATACCACGACTGTGTGCAATGTTTTCTTGTTCCTCAAGATAACGCTTTTTTAGTTCGTGTTTTATCAAAACATGTCGGAAATAGAACACCTAAAGCCTTAAGTTCGGAACGAAGCACACTGCATAAATTTTGATTATAACTTCTCCCCCTATTTGATTCCTGTTAATTAAAGCCTTGCTCTATGTTAAAGCGTGGACGATTAAAGAAACATTGACATCACTTAAAAAGGAACTACATGCAATATTATGTACATGATTAAGATAATTGCCGATTGTATTCATATTGCATAATTTATTATCAAAAATGTTATCAAAAATGCTTATGGTGATTTGATTGAAAGTTACTATTATAAAACATGTGGGCTAGTGAAAAAGGTTGCGGGCCAGTGAAAACTCTGGTTTACTGGCCCGGCCGGCCAGTAAAGGAAAACGTTAAGGAAAACCCCTGGTTTATACCCTGTTGATCTTACAGAATAGTTTTGTCCCAGCAAGGGCGAATCCACAGCCCCATCTTCGGGGAGGGGGGAGGGGGAGGGGGTTGTTTTGATCCTTAACATTATTAGGGTTTAGGGTTTTAGGAGTACAGGGGTTTTAGGAATTTTAGGGTTTATAACTCCAAAACAACGCGATATGTTGTTTGAAAACCTATGGAAATTGAAAACAAGATTTGTATGCGAAGAGCTGCGTATAAAAAGCAACTAATGGAATCCCAGAAAATGAAATGCTGTTGCTTTTCAAAATTAGGTGTCTATACCTTTACTGTTATGTCATGGCTGTAGCTACAGCCAAAACGCTATAGTTAGCTGCTTGGTGCCGATATAATGTAAGTCAACTATCATCATCATCATCATCAAGTCGGCCTCAGCCAGGCTCAAATGCCTTACCATGAAGAGCTCAGAGGGTCGCAAGTCCTCATCTGAGCCCTGGGGATAGCCTAGCCTCTATCAAACCAATGACAAACTGGGAGACACCAGTTGGATAAGTTGGATCAGGATTCCAGGCCTACAGGCAGACTGTCGACCAAGGCTATTGAGTTCTACCTGTTTGTGATCAGAGTTGTCCTTCTCCTAGGCAGACTGCCACACCAAGGCTTACAAGTTCTACCTACATCTTGCTAAATAGGGTTTGCTTATTTTATTCAGTGATATAAACTCGTGATAAACTCATTTCAACAATCAAAACAAGACAATACGCATTTGGCATTATTTAGTTTACCAATTTATACGGATGCAACTGCGGAATAAGAATAAGAAGCCATATAAATAAGAAGGTATATTCACTCGGTCTTTTACTTTGTCCGACCAGTGGATTTATTCTCCCCCTAAAATTGATGTAACATTGAAAGAACAATGTGTCTGCACCTGAACTGGCAAATGGTCACCCGAACTCGCAAAATAAGATTTAAAGCTGTATTTGTAGGATATATAAGACAGGAAACTGGGAGCTATCAAAGTTATTAAAGGGTCCATGAAATCATGGGCGTCGCCAGGATTTTTCTGGGGGGGGGGGGGAGAAGCACAATTTTTTCAAAAATCCTTGTACTTTCTCTAGCATATTCTCAATTTATATATTTTTCGAGGGTTAGCTGGGGGGGGGGGGGGGCATTTGCACACCCCATCCCCATTGACACCCCTGCGGACGCCCATGGTGTTAAATGTACATTAAATTAACAGCAATATGATTTCGCACCTCATCTTCTTCTTTTTTTCTTTCTTCTTTTTTTTTCTTTTTGGGCTTTTCCGGGGGGGGGAACGCCCCTTTCTCCATCCTGGCGACGCCCATGCATGAAATGTGCTTTTCTTTGGAACACATTTTGTGCAATTTTCTATACTCCTCTTAAAACGCATGAAAACACTATTTTACATTCCTTTTTGGTTAATTCTTAAGTACACTTCTTTAAACATAAAAAAAAACACAAATCCATACTTTTCCGGACAACTGAGGGCGTTGTTGCTGTGATGTCATTTCAGGAAGACACTACTCAGTTTTGGGGGTTTTCTGTTCAAATTGTGAACCCAAAATATTTTTCACTGAAAATATTTGTGAGAAAAGTTTGCTCATCGGCTTCCTGCCTACTGACACAGCAGCGAATCACCAAAAAAAGAAGAAATGCTACGAAAGCAAAATATCCAAAATTCTGGCAACCTTCAATGCTGAAATAGCTGTAACATTCAAGTGTCTGCCTGAAATGACATCACATTTTTGCTCATGATTATGGAAATTTTCATTAGCATAAAAAAACCAAAAAGGCACCAAAAATACCCTTGAAAATGGCATAACAAAATTTGAAAATGAATAAATGGTACACAAATTTGCATTTTCAAGGATTGCATTAAAAAAAACGTTTACATTGCGTGGCCCTTTTAACGCTACGTGTATGCAAAAATAATATTTGGGAAGCGTCAGTACTGCTAAGCCTTAACCAAGGGAGAGGTTTAATGGAAAAAGTATCAAATTTTAATCATTCTGAGTGGGATGAAGACCCTTCATTAATAACCTAGCCAAACGTCAGTCTGTCGTGTTTATCGTTTCCCACGGATTACTTCTAACATTATGCACCTCAAGGACAAAAATTAATGTACTCCATTATTTAAAAGCTACCCGCCACGCACATGACGCCAAACAGTTTAATAGTGCATTAAGCAGCAAGTAACTAATTGGCTTTTTTGGTAGTGGCTCAGGGATGACAACGCTAACCTCCGCTCAAAGTGCAGCGGACATAATTGCCAAGAGCAAGCGCAGCTCTTCAGCCAAAATTAGGCACATACGTATACATTTTTTCAGTTTTCCAGTCACAAGACGGGTTTGATTGTTATGAGTTAAAAATTTTATTTGGAAACTGCTTAAGTGATTGTTTTCCAGAGATATCTGAAAGGGAAATGAAAGAGAAAGTTTGAGCGGCATCGATGTCATTTTAGTGAGAGTCGCCGAGTGAATCTGGTAGCCAATATCGCGATAGCTTGCTCTTTGGAAGCAATGGAAGGACTTACGGGAGGAATATATTTATTCTGGATAAGCTTCGCATGTGTTTCCCTCGTCCTGCTTGCAAAGGAAAATAAAGAAGGTAAGGAGAAATATTTATAACCCTAACCAGGCCGGGTTATTTTGACCATCTCTCAGCTGGGGGGGGGGGGGGGGGCGCCCCCTAAGATCTCGCCCATCGAGTGACAAAAAAAAATGAAACTCTGTACATGCATAGAGCAACTCATCATAAACATACCCAAGAAATTTCACGACTATAAGACAAAGGTTTTTTTGGAATTATGGCTAATTAATTATTCAAATGTACGAATGGTAATTCTGCTCTGTGTACACGACGTTTATGGGAGAATTCAGTTTTCACGGCGCGTAGCGCCGGAAATTTTTCGCTACGCGGCAACCCCTGGTCCTATTTTTATGTTTTTGGTTTCAAAAGATGCGCAAGGTTCGAGGCTAAAAAGTCATAACACAAAAGTCATTGTTTGTGATCTGTTCGACATTGCCTCCTGCAATATATTCGATTTCAGGCACAAGGCCGCTTGACCTTTACTTCCGGTGTTACCCAAAGTGCAATGTAAATTGAATATAACTTGAAAACGGAAGCACTTTTTAACTACAGACAAACACATTATGGAAGTGTTTAGTGACAAATGCCAAACACACAAATACATTATGTCGTCATCATCCAAAAGGGTGCCCAAAAGGGTGCAAAGACAGTTGAACGTCATATAAAATCCATTCCTCAAAATTGTTCCAAATTTCCCCTAGATATTCTTTGGACAGCCGCAAATGACTTCGCGAGGCCTCGATCAGAATCATGATGTCATCATACCAGGAGGTTTTGCAGGGAGAATTTGAAAATAATCAGTTCAAGTTCAAATCCATATTTGTTTTGTGTCTAATGATTGTTCGGAGCACAAATAATGATAACCGGTACATTGATGGCCTTGGGCTTTCAAATGCTGTAGTGTCCGACATCAAACTGGAAGTTAGGTATTTTTATTTATTTATAGTTTTATTTAGACAGGGTAGCCTCATCTGTTAAAAACTGCTATTACTGAGGGCCCTGTATAAAATGATAAGAATAAAAGAAAAGAAAAGAAAATTATTATGTAAAATCACTAAGAACATTAAGTAAAAGTAAAAACTAGAATGAAGAAACAAAAATGTAAATTTAATATACATACACTTAGGGACCGTGACCATTCAGCCCCGGTATGAAAAGGGCCCCCCGGTAAGCTCGTCCCCTTCCAAGAAGTCCTTTCGTACCGTCCCAGCTACCGGCCCAAGAGCTGGTCCGGTTGCTAATCAGGAACTCCTCTATCCTGGGGTCTATTGTTTGCAAGTATTGACACATGTTTATCCCAGAAGAAACCTGCTTGTGGTCATCTCTCAGCGCGAAACAGTAGAACACTTTCGTCGGCACAGATCAAAACCCCTGTCATGCGGTTTCGCGCACAATGGGACCGTAAATTTAAAAGGCGTTTGGAAGGATTTTATCTTTAATCCAGTAAATCTGCTATTGTTCTGCTCTGGACGTTCTCTGAAGGGCAATAAATTGATGCGCCTGACTGACTTCAAAACTTCTGGTCAGACAGGACCATGTACCGGACGAGACTGGGCTGAAGACCGGACTGGCTCTGGACCAGACGAGGTACCGGGGAGCCCTTTTCATACCAGGGCTGAATGGTCACGGTCCCTTAACCGTCCATTATAATTTCCATCTTTTCAAAAGCTCTTTTCACTTCATGATTGACATGACTCTCTGAACTCAATCAATATTTACTTTGCTCGCTGTAGCCGATGTTGTCATCGAACGGGAAATAAGGTGTACGTGTAAATATAATGTAAGCCCTACACTGAAGTTTGTCAAACCCAAAAAGATGCATTGTAGTTTGAAATTAAAATAAATGGTTCTACTGGAAAGGCTGAATTTTGTTACTCTTTTTCTGTTCTCACAAACATATTCACAACTTAACTGGTCAATGCAAGAACGATCACCCTTGGCTGCGTTTGTAACTCAACAAACGCGAATCTCTTGAAATTGAATTTGAGAATTGAGCTCGTCGATATTCTGGAACGAAATCAAAGGATCGCTCTAATTAATTTGTGTGATTATAAGTGTTAAAATAACTGCGAAAGCTTATAGTTCATTAAGAGAGGAGTGCATGTTCATTTACGAGTTGACATTTACTTCACATGGGCTGATAAGGCTCATTAAAAATGAATGTTGGTAACGCAGATGATTCTGTCTTCCTTTGGGGAGGTGTTGGATGTAATTTTGGAATCCATCCGTTTCATAAAGACTGCGAAACAAGGTTATTATTGCACGTCCTTCCATTTCCAAGCAATGCCGTGCACCATTACCCAGGAGCCCGACCCACATACGGGCCGCTACCGCTGGTTGATTCCAGCCGTGGACCCGTGTGAGTGCACGCAGATCGGAATGGGTGGCTTCAGCACCTTCGTACCGTACAGACCCTACGAGGTGACGTACTATGACACCTTTCTGATCAGCAGCGATCCTGGGGAGATACAGCAATGGCTGAACTGCCCTGGTGAGTACACTAGCAGACCACCCCCATCAGCCAACCCCGGTCGGGCAAACGGAGACAATCCCGCCGAAGTTTAATTAAACAAAGGAAAGAGCGAAGGCCGGAATTTTTCAGATCGGGGCTGTAGTGTACCCATCCCTTTTCCCTTCCACCTGAAAATAAATGACAAAAACAAAATCCACGAATTTGCACCTTTTCAATTTAACGTCAATCTCCACACGGGACGAATTCCCAGAAATGTGGACGGATCAGAATGCTATATTCGCTAATTACACTTGACCAAATATGAATTTTATTGGTGTTTATTCGAAAATCAGACTTACAGATAGAGCCCAACCACATTCTGGAACGAAAGAAAAGCATCTTGCCATAGAATTTGGATGACACAAATATAAAAAACCTTTAGTAAATCTTATTGGACGAAGGGACACTGAGTGCGCGTACCGATTGAGTGCATGTCATTCCGTCTCACTACAGTTATTTCGCATCTCCCTCCCCCCTTAGGTGACTCTCCTTGCTCTGTGGAGGGAACTCTCGGGATGGAAGATGGTCGCATCCCGGATCAAAGCATCACAGCTTCGTCTTTTTTTCGAAACCTCACTGCATTTGGCCCAGTCAGGGCCAGACTTAATCTTAAAGGTACTTTTTTGTATTCAGCTTAATTACTAATGCTACTCTTTTAATTTAGAGGCAATTTAACAGGAAAGTTTCCCACCATTTACTGGTACAGCTCAACCGGAAGGACAACTTTAATCGTATAGACTAGTAGTTGATGCGTGCCGTACCTTACGCATGCGCACAAATGGCAACGTTCGAACGTCTGTATAGTGATCCCGGGGCCAATTCCACGGAGCTGCTAAGCACTCAAATTTGCTCAGCATGAAAAGTCTGCCTTGGCAAAAACAGGATAACCAACCAAATTTCCCTGTGATGAATATTGCTTGTGCTTGGTACTCAGCTGTTGTTTGCTTAGCATGAAAATCACATGGACTTTTGACTGGTAACCTGCTTTTACTTAGCCGGACTGTTTTGTGCTAAGCAATTTTTGTGTGCTTAGCAGCTCCATTAAATTGGCCGCTGGTTCCCTGCTGTGCGTTATGATGTTTACAAATAATATACCGTTTTATGGGTACTGGAAACAAAGGGTAACAATAGGGACAATGGTACCCCTCAAGTAGGTTTTTAGAAATCTTAGTTCCCAGGAGTGAAACGCTATGTAGTTTGAGATTTCAACAGAAACAAAGGAGAACAAAAGTAAGGAAGTAAAGTCGGACAATAGTGATACATTTCCCATAACTTAACTACCCATTGTGTGCGGTTGGGCGCGCGTAAACTACGATACTATAGCGACCTCAATATAGGCTGGTCCCGATTAATCGACTCTACTAGTCCCATATTTGTCGGCTAGCTGTGTTCTTGCTCGAACTTAATTCAGCTTTCCTACCATGGAGTTATAATACTAAAGTTCGAGACCCGTGCTCTTGTGGTACCATAACAAATTAATGTTACCATTTAATTGATGTTATTTTTCTTTGCTTTAAAAACGTTATGATTTTTTTTCCAAATGAGACGACATTCAACGTAAAATCTCGGTGAACGCTAAATTATCAACCTTTTTTTCAATTCAACTCTTGAATTAAGCTCAACATACCAAGCTCTTTTTTGAATAATTACCTCAATACTAACAAGCTAAATTTTGAAAAATCACGGGGATACTGACTTTAAACGTGGTAATTAAGCAAACGTTTTTCGTGTTGATTAACAGGAAATGCTGAAGCCTGGTGTAACGATGACGTAACTGATAATATCAGTCCATGGATACAGGTTGCTTTCAATGGCACAGTCACCATCACTGGTTTGATCACCCAGGGGCGTGGAGATTACGACCAATGGGTGACGGAGTACCGAGTGACGAACAGCCGCAATGGCGGTCAGTCTTGGAATAACGTAACTGATGTAGACGGGAAACCTATCGGGGTAGGATTTTTTAATACCAAATATTGACAAAAGTTGAATGGTATCTAATGCGTATGATGATATTTGAATTTGAAAGTTGAAAACGTAAATACCATTCCTTTTGTTTGCAGTTCCCTGGTAACAATGACGGGAACACCGTGGTAACTACTCGTTTCCCGTTTGCCTTGCGCACCAGAATCCTGCGCATTCGCCCCACTGCATGGTATGTGCACTGCAGCATGAGGTTTGAAGTAATCGGCTGCTATTAGACTGTTTCCATTTGTCAATGGATCAGTCAAATTAAACGAATTCAATGTTTACTATAATCAGCAAACACTGTGTGTGGCAAACAGCTTTCTAAACACTTTCTTGCTATATCAGTTTGTAGACATGTTTAAATACTATTATGTTTAGAGTAAGGATGGATAGTGTTTAGCAATTGAACATTGATGTTTAGGAATTGGACACGTAATGTTTAGCTTCTAAACATGTTTACAAAATGATAGCAAGATTGTGTTTAATTGCTAAACACATTTGAAATGTAAGTTGTTTGTCAGTGTATAAATACAAGTTTTGTGGGAATTGAAAAAAAGTAAGAGTTATCAAAAGAAGGGCAGTAAAATATCGTAAGATTTTTGTCTCATTCATGTTGATTGTCATCATGTCATTTGAATTACCACTGTATACTTAATTTGTATTCATTAATGTTAATTGTTAAAACAAAAGAAGTGTTTAGAGATACGCGCATCTGCAGTTGTCTAAAAAACAAAAAAGTCATCAAAAACAGAAAAATGCAAGTCGTTAAATGAAAAACGTCCTTATGATGTTCGGTTGGCGTCGCAATCCCACAAAGAATGAACCACCCTATACACTGCAAAAACTGGAGTGTTAAATTTAGACCATTGGTATCCATATAGGACCATCTGGTATTAAATTTTACCGGTGTTGTCCTATATAGATACCGAATGGTGTTTCATTTACCCTACAGTTTTTGCAGTGTACATGTAGAGTTTATTTCCAAAATGCTCCTGCTGTCTCCTAAATGCCTAAACGCAACTTCGACGGCTGTTATATACTTAAACACAACTTTCAAATACATTCAGGCGAAAAATGAAGCTGAGAAACGGCTGTTGTACTGTTGTGAAGCTCTGACAGGAGCTTCTACATGTCACTTGGTGGTCGGTCTGTCTGTCTGTCCCGAAAATTGACCAAAAGTATGGCGTTCTACAATGTGCAATCGTCGTCGCATTTTTCGGCGTCGCATTTTTCTCAGCTCTGGCAGGGATCATTTTGCTCGATTTCATGCAAGACTTTCATGCAAGACTGCTTGCAACACGGCCCGAGCTTTTGTGCACTTGCACTTGTTATTCTATAGTTTCAATGAAGGCACAGTGTCTACGCATAAAAAGCACTCATTATAAACACGCATATATCTTCATACTAAGATTATAGCTTTACATTTTTACAATTTCGTATGAATTACGGGTTGTTTTGTTGAAATATGTTTAGTTTAAACACTGTCGTAGTTTGTTTGTATAAATAGCGGCTTGTTTTGCAATTTGCAATATTATGGTTGGTGTTTTAACACTGTTTTAGATTGATAATGACACAACGAGTGGTGTATGGCCATGTACAGTTATCTACTTGTAATCGCTTTATATTATTATAATGATAGTGAAGGTGATTCTGACTGTATAGTTCTATAGGTTTCAGTCCTGCTCAAATTCGGAAAATACTGGTAAGCAGGCAATTTCACATTCATAATAATAAAGCAAATTTGCTTCAATCGTTGCTGTGTTTCCAATTAAGAAATTCAAGCAGTCGAATTTGTTTTCAGACGCGCAAATTCATTTATCATCGTATTCAATTTAGCATGTTATACTTCGATGGTCTTTTGAGTTAATACTGCACATTAGTTGGTTCGACTGTAGCCCAGGTTGGACTCCTCCGTTGTGTATATGCGACGGAGCCCATGCTGGGTATGAACGTCTGCTGCCATAGCGAAAAAAAAATATAACACATTTCCCCCAATATTTTTACCTGATGGAGGAAGCTAAACTTTCGTTTACGTATTCCTTGTGTCCAGAATTATGCATACGCTGGGTCTAGAAAAGGAACATATGTCTGGGGCAGCGTGTTTACCGAAAAAAATCGCAGATCCACGCTTTCGTCGAAAACATCCTAAGTACGAACACCCAGTAAGAAGACTTGAACGTCATCGCAATTCAACCATGCGAACTTCACACGGACATATTTACCTTTTCTAAACCAAGCGTATGCATGATTCTGGACACAAAGAATATGTGATGCGATCAAGCTACATGAGTCGTTTGTCGACCCTGGTCATTTTTTTTTACAGATTTGAAAGGAGCACAATCTCAGCATCACTGCTGTGAAAACCGCATGCTAGTACCATCTTTAGTAAAAAAAAAAAAGTTGGAGCACCAAGGGATGTGATAAAGTAATGTGATAAAGTGGCCCTAATTTTGGCCTGAATCTCCAAATGAAAGTTCCCAACAAACGACTCATTTGGCTTAATTGCATTTCAACTTCCTCCACCGGATAAAAATGTGAAAAAAGATGTCTTATAATTTTTTCCACTGAGGTACCCTGGACCGTGGACGTCAGTCGTAATGCAATGAAGACGCCGTCCAACCGCGGCTAGTTCGACTGGAGATGTTCATTATGCTAGACACCATCTTTCTATGGGGGCGCTGTTCAAAGCGGACGATAAGGTTCACCATGCACAGACATAACGGCACCATGCGACAATAGGTGGCGCTTTTCTTGGCGGCACACTTGACGAATTTCGCGCAACGTTTAAAAAAAAGGGAAGCTCGTGAAAAAAAGGGCACTCGTTAAAAAAGAAAAGACACTCGTGGGGAAAAAAGACACTCGTTACAAAATATTTGGGGGTGGTGGCTACACCACTGATGATCGTGTAAATTGGACTTTTTTCAAGCAATTGGCATGCTCTTAAGTTTGAACACATTTGATAAACGAGCCATGTATTTTAACGATAACGCATGTATTTCTGTTTTCCTTCCTCCATGACGGGATATACCGTATAGGGGGATGTTGCAACCTGACGCCACTTTTTTCTTCATTTATCATCTCAATGAAGGTATGATGATAAGACATGAATCTGGGACTGAGAAATATTTCCAATTTTATTAGGAAAATAATTTCTTGACTCTCCAAAGACTTTGTACACAATTGCAGAAATAGCGCCAGGTTCCAACATTTTTCCCAGGCTGCATCCGAATGAATTAACTCCGAGCACGTCCACGCCCAGTGAAAATACGCGGGGACGCGCTGCCAATAATTCGTAGCCGTAGCTCCATGCATAGAGCTACATATGGTTTGTAGCTCTATGCTCCGTGGAAGCCCGTTTCGGACACGGCCTAAAGCGCCCGCCGGACGTTGCATGGCCTTATGGGATACTTACCCAAACCGGCTCGGCGAGTCGGTTACTTGGGCCAGGCTCGAGTAAGCGCGAGAAGTCACGTGAGAGGTAAATCGAAAGCTGTCGCGCTTGCACGAGTAATCGCGGGGGAAGTAATCGAACGCACTATGTAGTTTGCTGTTCGAAACCGGATGTCTACTGCATAGCCAGTCTGCGCTGGTACACATCTTCCAAGTGGGGGGCGCTCTTCAAAACTTACCATTATTATGTATACTATATTATTATATGGACAATTTCACTGCGCATTGTAATGGTTGTTGAGCGGGTTGTTCTTTGGTGGGATTGATGTCAGAAGAACTCTATAAACACTTCAAATCATTGCTGACAAAACAATTGTCAAAAAAATCCGCCAGGGGGTGCAAAGTGCCCCCCCTGCCCCCCCCCCCCGGATACGCCACTGGGCAGAAAGCCGTAAAAGTGTGGGTTAATTTGTGAAATATTCTGCAAAATCAGGCATGACAATGAACGTTCTTTCGTAAAGACAGTGCAGTGATTCTTTATTCGAAAACTTTGTTAACAGCGAGGATGTAACCCTTACACTTTGCCGTTATTTCAAATAAGCTGGATTTGTACTCACTGATTTAATACAATGTCTGCATCAAAATGATCTGGTTCCAAATGAAACAAGCTATTGATGTAATATCACTTTTGTCATGCATAATTATAATTAACGTCAAACCAGGTTTAAACACAGAACACGTTGCTAGACTACGTAGTACTGATTTTCGCAACAAAGAAATGTATATTAACAAGACTTTGTCAAAAAAAACCAAAAATGTAATTTGCTTAACTACCTATTTGTATTTCAACATCAAAACACCTGTACAAAATCAATTACTTCGTGGATCTGTAACAAATTACAAGCACATTTACAGTACGTGAGAAACACCGACGATACAATGCGGAGTCCACGAATTAATTACCGTGTTAAAGTTTAATCACTGAGATGTCTTTTTATTGCAAACTAATTTTCATCAGGATGCTGATTCGTGTAGGTCAATCCATGAACCTTGCCTTACAGCGACAACCCAGCTTATTATTATATGCTCGATACCATGTCAGCTTTTTACTTTTGAAGACAAATTAGAAATTTTACCGACTATTGGGAATTTGTTTTAAATGTACAACGCGCACTTTAGAAGCCTTTTTGCTTTTCTTCTTCCTTTTCGCCACCGGTATGTGGCTATTCTGCCGGAATAGGTTGACATGTACACGCATTTTTCTCATTGTCTGGCAGCAGAGGGCGCCCCGGAATTAGGCTCTATATAAAATAAATTTCTTCAGCTGGTCTATTTTGTTCATGTAGAGTGGGGAGGTTTGGCCTGACGCCGAATAATATATTTGTTTTCACGACTTGTATTCTAGTTTTGATGGCGTTTTGTTTTTGTGCCAGCTGCAGACTCGGCGTGTCTTAACACCTTTTGTTTAAAAACAAATTCACACTTTAAAAAGCCTTACAATATAAGTGCACAGTCGTATTTAAATTCAAATAAAAACGATGACAATCAACGTCAAATAAATCGCAAATCTGGCGATAGTTTACCTCCCTTATTTTGATAACTCTGAAATTTTTGTTTTTACAATTTAGACATTTATATACATTTCAAATGTACACATACAGATTCACAAAAGATGTTCATCAAAGAAATTTAGTGCCATTAGGAGGCAGCATGTACGAGCGTAAACACTTTTTTTAAATTTTTATTGATTATAGTAAACGTTGATTTCGTTTAACTGATCCACTGACAAAATAATGGAAATAGTCTAATAGCAGCCGATCACTTCAAACCTCATGCTGCAGTGGTCATACCATGCAGTGGGGTAAATGCGCAGGATTCTGGTGCGCAAGGCAAACGGGAAACGAGTAGATACCTGGGTGTTCCTGTCATTGTTACCAGGGAACTGTAAACAAAAGAAACACGTGAATTATGTTGACATTTTAAAGGTACAAATTTAAACATTATCATGCGTAAAAATCATAGTTTGCGTTCAACTTTTGTCAATTCATGTATTTGGTTTTAAATAAATCTTACCCTTATAGGTTTGCCGTCTACATTAGTAACGTTATTCCAAGACTGACCGCCATTGCGGCTATACGTCACTCCGTACTCCGTCACCCATTGGTCGCCGTCTCCACGCCCCTGGGTGATCAAACCAGTGATGGTGACTGTGCCATTGAAGACAACCTGTATCCATGGACTGATATTATCAGTTAGTTCATCGTGACACCAGGCTTCAGCACGTCCTGTTAATAAAAAAAGGAACAACTTTGCTTAATTACCACGTTTAAAGTCAGTATCCCCGTGATTTTTCCCCATGATTTTTCGAAGAGTATGATGTCTTTCAGTATTGGGGCAATGATGCCTATAAAAGAATTTTACATACTGAGCTTATTTCAAGCTTGAACTGAACAGTCCGCTCCTAATTCAAGAGCAGAATTGAAAAAAAACACGTTAGTTTTGACCGAGTTTTTTTTTCGTTCAAGGTCTCCTTAAAAAGAGTTAATAACTTGTATAAAACCAAAAAACACGATCAATTAAAATTGTTAAAGTTTTATTTGTGAGTGTGCCACACCCAAAGAGCCAGGGGTCTCAACTTTGGTGTTATCACTCTATGACAGGAAAGCTGACTCTATTGTTCGAGCAAGAACCCACGCTAGCCGACAGAAATTGGACCAGTAGTGTCGACTAATCGGGACCGGCCTATTGAGGTCGCTCGTATCGTAGCTAACAACAACCGCGTGCATCACAGTCAGCCTCGTGCGCGTTCCTTCAAGATCACGCAACTCATGATGAGAAACAACATGGCGCAGCGAGATCGTACCCACGGAAACAAGGTTGCATCATAACGTACAGCAAGGAACCATAATTACTAGTGACGTTCGCACGTTGCCATTTGTGCGCATGCGCAAGTTACGTAGCGCATCAACTACCACTTGTCGAACGTCCGTCTATACGATTAAAATTGCTCAATTGAGTTGTAGCGGTAAATGGTGAGGGAATTTCCAGTTAAAGTGCCTCTCAATTAGAAGTATAACATTATTAATTAGGCTAAATAAAAATTATACCTTGAGTATTAGGTCTGGCCCTGACTGGGCTCCACATAGCGCCGTTTCGCCAAAAAGACGAAGCTGTGATGCTTTGATCCGGGATGCGACCATCTTTCATCCCGAGAGGTCCCTCCACAGAGCAAGAAGAGTCACCTAAGGGATAGAAGAAGAGGCGAAATAACTGTAGTGCGAGCGACGGATCCACGCGGTCACTCAGGCGGTACGCGCGCCGCACTCAATGTTCCTTCGTCCCATAAGGTTTACTGTAGGTTTTTCCCAGTTATACTTTAACACTTGTCTTGTGTCACTCAAATTCTATGAAAAGATATTTTAATTTTGTTCCAGAATGTCATTGGGCTCCATTGTTAATTCCGATTTCGAATTTACACCAATATAATTCATATTTGGTCCAGTGCATTTAGCGAATAAAGCATTCTGATTCGTCCTTATTTCGGGAAATTCGTCCCATGTGCAGAGTGACGTTGAATTGAAACAGCAAATTAATTTTCTCTGGGTTTTCCCGGCCAAATTCCTGAGATGTCCATTCACTCCTGAAAATCGGTCATTCATTTTCGTCTGAATTTGAGAATCGCTCTGAACACGCGTTTCATTTTTCATTTTCGCTACCAGAGCATTCGATTCTATTTCATTTCAATCAATTAAGTGATTGAGCAGAGCCTTTCGTTTATGTCCATTCAGATTTGTTTACAAGACCTCTTTTTCGCTTTTAGAGGGCAATTTCAAACATTCACCATTCTATTTTACTTTTAGTTTAATGCCATCGGCACCGGATACAATTAGGGGTTTCTTTTTTTCATTAACAGTCAATCAAATTAGCTATACCTGAAATCAATTTAGAAAAGGTATGCTTGCGTACATGAATGCACAGGTAACGTGATTGGCCGTCTGTTTCTCAAAACCGAATGCACGGACAGTGAAAACGATTGAACTTTCGTTGAACTGAAATGGGATTAAAGAAATGCATTCAAATTCAGACGAAAACGAATGACCGATTTTCAGAAGTGAATGAACATTTCAGGAAATTGGCCGGGAAAACCAATATCATTCATTTTCGCGTTGAAGGAAACGGAGAAGAGTACACCACCGCATCGAGTTATCCTCCGTCTTTTATATGTTTTTAATTATTAAGACTTGGGGGGGGGGGGTCAGAAAGGTGTACTCACCAGGGCAGTTGAGCCATTGCTGTATCTCCTCCGGATCGCTGCTGATCAGAAAGGTGTCATTGTACGTCACCTCGTAGGGTCTGTACGGTACGAAGGTGCTGAAGCCACCCATTCCGATCTGCGTGCACTCACACGGGTCCACGGCTTGAATCAACCAGCGGTAGCGGCCCGTCTGTGGGTCGGGCTCCTGGGTAATGGTGCACGGCATTGCTTGGAAATGGAAGGGCGTGCAAAATAATTGTTTCACAGTCTTTTAAGAAACGGATGGATTCCGAAATTACATCCAACCCCTCCCATAAGGAAGACATAATCATCCTAGTTACGAACATTAAATTTTTAATGAGCCTTATCAGCCCAGGTGAGTAAATTGCAAATTGCAATGAACATGAACCCCTTTCTTAATTTAACTAATAATACGTTTTCCAGTTATTTGAACACTTATATTACACAAATTAAGTAAGATAAACGATCCTTAAGGCCAAAAAAGTTTCCGGTTTCTGGTATGCGCGCGCGTCGCCGTAGCCATGCGCGTCGGCAAAATGAAAACGTTTTTTTTTTCAATGTAAGATGATGTCTCAAAACCGCCAAATTCACTGGTTTGACTGGAATCATGCTGCTGCACAAGTTTAAAGTGTTTTAATATGGGGTTACGATCGAGTATAAGCTGTATATGGCCTATCTGGACTCCCATATATTTGTAATAAATTTTGTCTGGCTCTATTTGCAGTCCTCAGCCGACATTTGAAGAAAAAAAAGTAAAAAAAAAGAAGCCTCGTCGCCACACCACTTTTGGGGCAAGCTCCATACCAGAAACCAGAGACTTTTTGGGCCTAAATTTCGTCCCTTCTTAGATCGACGAGCTCAACAGCCACCGGTGGATTTCATTTTAGGTGCTGCATAATTCAAATTGGTACCATTCCAATTCGTCCTATTTTTTTTTGTCCCAAGTAACGATCGGCGTCGTATACGTATTGAAAAAGCAGATTCATTTTAGCATTTTGTTAAGTCAGACGGAGCATTCTTTGTATTACCTTAAGCCCGTGGAAGGCCTATACAATTCTAGGTATTTCGGTATTTTCTTGTCACTAGTTTTTGAGAGTCGATTGTGGAAAAAGATGGCTGTCAATCATAGATGCCTCTTATTCGACTGTCTGGATGTTGATGACACTCCCTAGGTAATGCGCCATGTTGCCCCAAGCGCTTACCTCTTTTACTTACCTTCTCGAGAACAGAAGAAATGCGTTACCAAGAGGAGGGAGAAGACATACAAGAACAAATCAAGAAATGCAGTAACTGGATAAAAACCTCTTGTAAACCTTTGGCTAACTAAAATGAAGGACTACGATGGCATGCTCCCTGACAAGCCACATATTGCCCATAGTACACATGCTGGGAGTATAGACGGTACGCTGATAACACTAAAGCTTGCTCTGGATGTACGGTGCCTCAATCCCGCAACGCTGACAGAGTGTATAAATTACAAGTCTAACACAAACGATTAACCCTCCAAAGAAAGTCCAAAACATGGGAAACATTTTCCAACCGTAATATGCTTCTATTTACATGAAACGAAATGGAATTACAACAGCATCAAACTGTATGACAAAAAAAAAACACCCAAGTGTGCTTTTTCAATACAAGGCCGATCACTATATAACAAGAATTCATCGAAATTAGGACGAATTAGTAATGCTACAAATTTGAACTACTGCACCTCAAATGAAAGTCCATTTGGGGCTATTTGAAATCAAATTGAGAATAGGGCTTGACTGTTCTGGAACGAAATTAAAGTATCGTTCTAGGGAATTTTGTGATAAAAGAGTTAAAAAAATAACCGGGAAAACCTATACAATAAGCATTGTGCGTTAATGCGGAGTTATAGAGGGCAACAATGGTTTTGTAATTCCTGGAAAGGCATGAGTAGTGAGTACACCTTTGTGTACTCACCCATGTTTACGTTACATACCCAGTGTGGACATTCCTTTGTTTTCGTGTAGTTAAGAAAATCTTCTGAAATAAATCATTTTACTCACTTACTCACCCAATTTTTTCTATGATTCCCTTTAGTGTTTCTCTTCATTTTGCCACGGATAAACCTAACCCCCAAATGCCTCTAAACCTGTTTACCAGAGAAGCGGAAACACTGTGTGGACGTGGGCAAGTCCACACAACGTCGCTGCTACCTGGTTTATGAGGACCTCTTTTGTTCGGAAGTCCAGACAGTGAATTTTATGCTTGTACATTGTAACATTGTAACAAACATTAAAAAGAACATAACACCCTCCGAGGTACCTGCAATTAAAGTAACTTAACATCACTCTTCGCACGCAGTACATAATAACACCGTTAGAAGAAATTGAATGACGAGTAAGATTTTTTTTCGTACAAAATTATAATTTTCATTTATATTCTCGAATTTGTAAACAAGAATTGATCTATTAAATCCATTAAAAACATTTCAGTAGAGCTCAGACAAAATAACATCTCGTTCCAAGGTTTCGGCGTAATACAGGGTGCTGTTTATGGTGAAAAATATTCTTTATATTTCATCCACTTTAAATGTTTCTCCTTACCTTTAGGTTCCTTTGCAATTAGAACGAGAGAAACACATGCAAAAATCATCCAAAATAAATATATTCCTCCCGTAAGTCCTTCCATTGCTTCCAACGAGCGAGCTATAACGCGATATTGGCTACCAGTTTCACTCCATGGCACTCATTGAAATGGCATCAATGCCACTCAAAGTGTCTCTTTCATTTCACTTTCGATAAATAAATGAGGCAGTTCCCTCATAACAACAGACTTGCCTTCTGGCTGGTAATTATTATATTAAATTTTGCTTATTTTGGCTGGAGATGATCTCCGCTGGCTTTTGTGAAGGTCTGTTGGTCATTTGAGCAGAACGTAAACGTTGTCAGACTCGAACAAAAAAAACCCACAAAAAACATTAAAAATAAGCCAATTAGTCACTTGCTGCTTAATTGAACCCAACCACCGTGCGGTCCACCAAATTAGAAAGCTGGCATGCTCTTTTGTTTGGCGTCAGGTGTGTGGCGTGTAGCTTTGAAATATTAGAGTGCATTTTGTCCTTGAGGTGCTAATGAACAGAAGTAATCAGCTTTGAAAAATGATAAACACAACACGCTAATAAAACCCTTCATCCTATTCAGGATTACAATTTGATACTCTTTCGATGAAACCTCTCCCCTTTGTTCTTTGCAGGACGGACACTTCCCCAAATAAGTATTTTTGGCAATGTTTGTTTCAGTCGTACTAAATCTAATAGCTCCCAATTTCCCATCTTACACACCGCACAACATATACAGCTTTAAATCTAAGTACTACAATCTTTGTCCTTATGGACTGAAAGGTTGCATTTTGCGAGTTCAAATGCCGACACATTGTTTTCCCAATTTGACACCCAGGGCAGATGGATTATGAGGGACACTAGGTCCTAAAACAGCCCAATTGGGCTACAAAACGCGCTTTGAACGAGATTATGTTAATCGGAAAGAACATTTAAAACTAGCATATAAACATCCGCACAACTATCATTTATAAACTGGGAGTTATGGGTGTTATTCCTGTATTATGCGTGCGAGAACGAATTTCGGGGTCCGCTTTTTGCGACCCCATAAATTCGAGCCGTTTTGATGCTAGTTGTGGAGAAGTTGCTTTTTGCGGACGTTGAAGAAACCCCATTTTTTGCATTGGTGATTGGTCACCGCTGTTCCCGAGACACATCGTGTATATCGTACACTGTATGAGAACGACACGAAAAACGTATTCGTACTCCGTCATGTCCGATGTAAACAACCGGGGATTTTTCCTCTTTTCTCGGGAACAGTAAGACATTAGGTTAGTTTCCTTTCAACCACATGTTTGAAATAGAATAGGTAAACAATCCAAAAACATACAATTTGGGGATTTCAGGACCCAGTGCCCCTTTACATGCACTTGGTGGAAAAAATCGCAAGACGTTATGAATAAGTGTTGCGTTTAGGGTGTCCCTTTTTTATTTCTATGGCTTTCATATTTTTTGCCTCTTTTAAGTATATGGGTTGAATCCCTATAAATGGTTTCATTAAAAGATGCCTTCTGCGTACTGTCTGTTTTGTATAAGTTGAAATGAGTTTATCATGAGTTGATATCACTGAATAAAATATAGGTTTTCCCAGTTATTTTAACACTTATATCGAATTTACCGAAATCAGGACTAATTAGAATAAAACAAATTTTAAGTACACTGCATTTTGAATGAAATCTAATGGTGGCTGTTTGAAATTGAAATTGGGAATTGAGCTTGGCGATGTTCGGGGACGAAATTCAACTGAACGGTCTAGGGAATTTGTGTGATAAAGTGTTAAAGGGAAGATACAACATTTGCAAACATCACGAAACGAAATGATCAAATTATCACAAAAAATCTTACTGGATTATTAAGGAATGACAGTCTAAAGCAACCTGTAAAATCGTGGCTCCTGGTGTGCTGACATTTTCAAGAAATATAGTATTTTTCCAACGCTGGTCGGCCGACCAGCGTTGGAGAAAACTGTGTTTTATTTTGAAACGCTGCTCCTAATTTTTCCTAATTTGTTACTCCGCATTTTCTTTGCAATGGATCACAGAGCTGTGAAGGGGTACAAGCCTGCTAGACTGATTCTTCGATCTTACAATTCCCAAGAGTTCATAAATTGCTCCGAATCAAGTTAAGTGAGGTCAGGGAACCAGCTTATAAGAACATGAATGGTTTTCTTGGTTTTTCCAGCATCTACAAGCCCAAAACGTGAAACAAAACGTGAAATTTTAATAATATTTGCAATAACATATGTGATCCTCCAAATTCATTTATTTCTGAAAATTGCAGCAAAAGCAAATGTTGTACATTGCCCTGGCTCGGCAAACCTATAGTAAACCACATTTGGCAAGATGTAATTATCTGCACCAAGCAGCTCACTAACATTTTGGCTGTAGTTGCAGCCATGACATACCAGTTAAGTTATAATATAGACAACTAAAATGATGAGAGGCAACATCCTCTCACCTTCTGGAATTCCTCTTTGTTTTCGTTTTTACTAGGTTTTGCAATTAACTAAATAAAATTGCTTTGGAGTTTTTAATCCTACAAATCCTAAAACCTTTGAACCCATTAACCCGAAAAAAAAACCTTTTAAAAAGGAGGAAAAGGAAAACCAGATCAAAAAAATACAAACTAAACAAGTCCTGAAAACCCCTGAAAAACATAAAACCACTTAAAAATTCAAAGAAATTAAAAAATCCTTATAATTATCCTGAAATATAAACAAAACCATACCTTTAAAATAAAAAGAAAATCCCTTAAATCCCCAATATACGTTTAAAGCTACAAAAAAAACCCATACAATTCTAAAACTACTACGATCCCTAAAGCCCTTTAACCCTCAAACCTTTTAAACTCCTAAAAATCTTAAGCATGACCTTAACCTTAGCGCTTTCCCAAATGCTGTCCATATTCCTAACCCTTACGACAGGGGACCCAGTTTAACCTTAAAACTGTAAATCCTTTAAATCCCCTTAAAAAGCCCCCCCCCCCAAAAAAAAAAACCCACCAAAAAAACCCCCCCAAAACACTGGAACTCCTGAATCCCCTACAACCCTTAAAATCTCTAAAAATTTAACACCCTAAAATCCATGTCATCTTGACAACGCCCTTAAACCACAGAAGTGATGATCAGCAAAGAAATTAAAGCAGCTAGCTGAAAATGTACTGATGCTCCGTGTATATGCGTTAAAGCTATTTACAGATCTTAAAATATAAAAATCATGTAATTCACGTCACGAGAATAGTTAAAACGTTAAAAGTAAAACGTTAAAAGTTAAACGATATTGAATAAAGCAGTATTTAACAAGGCGATGCAAATTATTATAATGACAAGCCACACCACTGCCACAAAAAACATAATATAACTCAAACATTTTTCAAATTACAACAAAATACCAATCATACAAAAATATACTGTTAAAAAAACGAGTAACTGCCTAAAGCAGAGATTTACAGGCCTGTCACTAGCTGCCAGCAATAATATAAGAAGCTCTCCAAGTACATTTCCGTAACTATTGTACATCATAATATTTTTCAAACGACATAAGTGTATAAGCATTATAATAACATCTGCGTATATACGGGCCGGTATTTCACCATAATCATTACTCTTTCACAATATTTACGACACTACATTATCTTGTCATGACGCTATTTACAGTGCAATGAAATATTCTCTAAAAGTCAGGCTTATTTTTAGGCCGAATAAAAAAAAACATGTTTCTCGTTCGGGTTTTTGAAAAAAAAGGAGGAAGCGGGGCTTTTTATTTTTTATTTGTTTCAAGATGGCCGCTAATTAAAAATTTCCTGCAACCGTTGGTGTTTCCACTGTTCAAAGACACTTTTAAAATGAAAGATAAGTTGGACAAGAGACTTGAATACATTTACAGTGTCATTTAGACTTGTATTGGTCTACAATAAATTTTCCGATGAATTTGTGGACTTTCTTGGTGTTTTTTTTACTGCATTTTTCAAAAATAAAAGATAATAAAAATATCCAGGCGGCCTCCAAAAAGGAAGCAGGCGGGGACGAGATACATGGGTTTTTTTTTACTCCGCCTAACATCTGTGTATTATGAGCTGATATTTTTAACATTATATTCCGCCATTTTGGGGGACAACATATAATCCTATACAAAATAAAGACAGTCCCAATTATTTTATTGTCGTGAAACAATTAAAAAAGCAATACAATATACATTATCATGCTGCCATCATGTAAGTCATGTTCCCTGTATCCAATCACAGTACTAAATGATAATGTTTTTGTGCAAAAAGGAACCAGACTATTTTTCCTTCAAGCCTTGCTTTGGCTACGTTGACTTGAATTGGGAAAAAATCGATGGCAGCAACATGATAATGGTCTATAAACAGTAAGAGCAGGTTTCCTAAACCCCTGCATAAGAGTAGGAAATATTATAGACAAGCCTGTGTCCTTCGCTTGTATCTGAGTTTTGTCCAAGCAGCATCGATGTTATATGTCTCTCCATTCAGTTGTCATCCAGCTCTGGGCGAATCATCAAGTACATGTAGTTGTCAGCTTTTGGCAGCAGTCGCATGTACGTCTACCGAGACAAAACAATGTCACTATTAAATAGTATACATTTAATATTCCTCATCACATGGTTAGACAGTATTTTAATGTACAGGTAGGTCTATACCAAATTTTACGATCCAGGAGACTCTGTAATACAACACACAAAGTGGACATGAATGATAGTGGCTCATCGTATCAAATTTGCTGCTATGAATACAAACACTCACATGTTCATGTTGTTTGTCAGCCATAATTTTCAGGTGAGTCACTAGACTTTTAAAATGAGGTCGGTTGTCCGGGTCTTCCTGCCAGCACATCAACATCAGAGTGTGGCTGCAAAACGACATGTTTGGTTGTCATTTACATAAAACAGTGTATTATTGCATCTTTGTGGTATGCATATTTTTATCGTAAGAAAATAATACATGCACACACGGAAGCGACTTGAACAATGAATAGGGAAAACCACATGCCGGCAGTAAAAGCTAAACAAGCTGATAGAAGCGCAACATCAGTTTCAAAATAGTGAAAGGTATGAATTCGATATGATAAAGATAAGTAGGTGTATCGACGGACAAACATTTTCAAACTTAAGCCTCCTAACGTGCACATCTTACATCTCGTTATCACAGTTGGTTGGTTTGGGCATCCGGTATCCACTCTGCAACCTCGACAGCAGGTCCTTAGATTTGATGTCTTCATAAGGAGTGGCACCTATAGTAGGAAGAAAATGGCACACAAATACTTTTAGTGAGAGAATATATAAGAGACGGATACAACGTTGGAATGGAAATACACTCCATGTATACGTGGGTTTTTAATTGAGAAATGTATACTTAAGGTTTTTTTTAACACATATACAAAAAGTTACAAACATGAAATATACATTACCCAAGGTCGCAATTTCCCACAGAAGGATTCCGAAGGACCATCTAAGTAAAACATGAAAAATGACAAACGAAACTTATTAACGATAGGCGATGCGTTTCACGTTCATAACATTCTTGGTATCCAAATTGTTATCTTTTGTATACGTACACGTCACTCTTTGATGTGTAGGTCTTGGAAGCCAACGACTCCAGAGACAGCCAGCGAGTAGGAACCCGAGTCTGTAAATGAGATTTCAAAGAAGGATGTTAAAATACTTCTCGCTCTAAGGAAAAACTGCTTAAACACGCAGGGTATGTGGGAGGATGTAGTATATGGGTATATAAGAAGCATTGGTCTAGATAATGCAACTGCAGTTAACTGCTACTTCTTACCCTTGACATCTGAACGTAGATATCTTCTGCACGCGATAACCCAAAATCAGAAACCTTGGCAACCAGTTGACTGTCAAGGAGGATGTTCCTTGCCGCCAAATCACGATGGATCACCTGCAAAGAGTTCTCCTTTCTTTATAACTTTTTTTAAGTATACCAAATTTGATTTCTGCGAACTCATGAGCTTCTCTCTGTGTTCCACTTTAGCAACACTGGTTCATACCCCATCATGGATTCCATCTTTTTCTACTTTTAATCCCAGTCTGAATATCTTCCATTCTTATACGCTTGTAAGCTTCAGTAGATCGTTTGCAATTCCAACATCTTGGAGATGTGTTTCTTTGTCCAACAGGGATACTTATTAGTACAGTAGACCTCTTGTGTTTTCAATTTTAATGAGTTAAGATAACAAAACAAACATCAAAGATGGCTGCTGAATGCACTCGATCTATGGCCTGACGCTTTGAAAGAATCCTTGGTTTCGTTACCAGTATAATGTTTCTACTTAGCCTCAAAAATTAAGACTTATACTTACCCCCACTGCGTCAACGTGTTGCATTCCTCTGGCAACATCCAATGCAAACTGAATCAGCTTCTCAGAAGACAGAGTGGACTGATCATCGTCCCCCAGGGATCGGGCATTTCTCAGGTAGGTGCGCAGATCACCGTTGGGCATGAACTCCAAAGCCACGTACAGAATGTCTGATAAATTTTTTTAATGGTCTACATATATGTGACGGTTTCAGCAAATGGTTTTGAGAAAATGTTCAAATTCAAGATAAATATGTACTTTCTGTAATCTCATCTGATTATACTGAGAGATTATGATCTCTAACAATACCAAGATGGAGTATGATAATATTGCTACATGCATAAGGAAACAATTGCCAATTTGTTTCCGAGGTACATTTTGCCTCAACGATTACCGGTATTATAAATGGTCAAACTTTTCTTCTGCACTAGGCTTACATTACCAGAAATTGTATAACAAATAATACAATAATTAATTATAAGCTATTTCACACACCTTCATGTTGACAAGCGCCGAGAATACCGACCACGTTCGGGTGTCGTCCAACTTTGGTCAGCGTCCGGAATTCCTCCATGAAGTTCTGCCGGTCATTTTCTGATGAGTTTGCTGTGATGAATTTTCCAATGAAATTAAATGAAACCTTTTTTGATTTTTAGTTTTATTGATAAACTCTCAATGGATATTAATATCTCTCAATGGATGTAAATTGAATTGAACCAATTGCTGTCCACACCAGATAAGGTTCAGAGTTCAAATATTTCGTAGTGCTCAGTTACAGATATTCAACCTACCCATCAGTGTCTTTATCGCAGCTTTTGAAACCTCTCCTCCAACCATCACTGCTCCGTCACGAACTTCTCCATAGTTTCCTTTGCCTAAAATCTTTTCACCGATGAACACATTCTTGAATGGAATCTTCCTTCCCTGTGCCCAAGATGGTAGGCCTACATCCTCATAGGTTGATGACGAGAGATGAACACCCACTACTTCATACGATGTTGGGTGATCTTGACCAACCCTCTCATAGTCTGATACGCCATACTCGTTATCTGGAGATATCTGATTCTCATACGTGGTCTTTCAAAAGCAAAAAAAATCAATGATGTCGATACCAATTCAGGAAGAAAGTATAAATGCACTAGGCCAAATTCCAACTTAATAAAGGTAACACTTTTTGATTGAGACATTAGTAGTTCGTATAGAATTATCTAGGGAGCGTGAAAATGAAAGATATGAATTGATGTTATTGGGAAGATGTTTATTTACGACAAGGAAAAATACATATTACATGAGCAAAAATAGTATTGGACATGCATCAGTCAAAGTTCAAGCCCTAAATATAATTCACGCAGTCGCCTATTTTGATATAACACCAACCAGTTCCTGTCCTCCTGTTGATTGTGTTTTTGCAGGTTGTCTTGTGCTTTTTCGATGACACGGAAAGTAGATGTACACAGCCACACCAACGATAATCACGACGATTACAACAACGACAATAAGAACGATCACGTCTGTGTTTGACTGACCACCTTGGGTTGGTTGTGGGGGAGTTGACGCCGATAGAAAAAAAAACAGACACAAAGTTAACATAAACATTTCCTATATTGGTAAGTCCGAAAAAGACTTCTAGACAAAGCAAGTAGCCTATTACGTAACGACAAGCACCACTAACAAAATTAATCGACGTCCTGAAGTTAGTGCGCGAGGTTTGACATTATATTACCTGCAGTACTGGTAGTCGGTTGTGTAGTTATGGGTTGGTTCTTTATTGGTGCTGTTGTTTCCGTCACTTTGGTTGATTCAGGTGTTGTTATAATGGATGATTCAGAGGTTGTAGGACCCGTGGTGGTTTCTGAGGGGGGTGATTCAGGTAGGGTCGTCCTAGTAGTTATTGGACTCCTAGGCCCTTCTCCTCCTGGCCCCTCTCTCACTACAGCCATGCTGAACATGTATTCAGTATTTGGTTGCAATGGTTGAACAGTGGAGCTGTACCAAGTCTGAGGTGGGCTTGCCACTGTGACATTATTGGCAACAGTCCATGATATGGGGGATGTAAGGGAGTAGTAGACTTTGTATGCAATGACCGGTCCATCTCCTGCATCCACATTGGAATCCCATGCCTGCCAGCTGACGATAGCTGATGTAGATGCAACTGATACACTGGGTGGCTGACTCAGCACAGGTAGAACTGAATCACAAGAAATAGAAAAAATGCACCATAATTTTAAGTATGACAAAATGAACTGCCCTGCTTTCTCAGAACAAATTATAAAGAAAAATGTCTTGAACCTAATGTGTATGTGATAAGGGCACTGAAAAATAAAAGTGTTAGGCATTCAATACAACAGTGTTGAATACCTTGATTTGGTCAATAAAACTTATGATTGGCTATTTGGTTGTAATAATAGACCTTTATCATACTGCCTCCATTTCAATCATGTTCCCGGTATCTAATAACAGTACTGAATGATAATTTTTTGTGCAAAAAGGAACCAGACTATTGTTCCTCCCAGCTTCGCTTTGGTTATGTTGATTTGAAGGGGAAAAATCAAGATGGCCGCAACATGATAATGGTCTATTGGCCTCGGCACTGTTTTTGGCAAATCTTCCATTGACGTGTACGAGGTATGCCAACTTGCAAATACAGTTCGCACTCCTTGTTATACACAAGTAGCTACCTACCATAAAATTTCACCGACAAACGTCTCGTACATGTGAAGCCAGAGAAGGTCATGATGCAATAAAATGTGTCATTAGTTTGCAGGAACAGAAAATTTGTTGTTCAACACTCCGTTGGAATTTGCATGAACAAGCATCTTTGATATTTACAAAAAAGGTTTGAGAAACCACTGAGAGTAAAAAAAAATGCCCTTAAAGTATCTTACTATTTCTTAGAAGTAACGCTGGTTATTACACAGAGACCGTTATAGGTTTGGCATGAGTAACCGATTGTTATGGATCAAAAAGGCGCTTATAAAAACCAGAGTTGTAACGAGTCACTGATTTTTTTGACTCGAGTCGAGTTGAGTCACTTTAAAGAAGTGACTCGAGTCGAGTCGAGTCATTAGGTCAAGACGGTCGAGTCGAGTCGAGTCACAGTGTGTAGTCCAGTCGAGTCAAGTATTAAGCTCGAGTCAATTCGAGTCACAAGTATTTGAGCACTATACAATAAATAAACAAGAGAGAAAGTCATTTTTTGGCTTTTTAAATTTTACATTCGGGCTACTACATGTGGCGACACCACATTTGCCTGTTAAAGAAAATAAAAAGGGGGTGACTTATGTGCGACGCACATCTAGCGAACAAGTAACGAATTCAGCGCATCCACTGCGTATGAGATTCGTATGAGTTGCGTATGCAGTGCGCAAGTTCGCCATCTGTGCGTTTCTCATAAGTTACGAATAAGTACAATGCGCTGCCCGCTCGTAGGACGAGCGGTACTAATTCGTGCAATACGTCGGCATTCGATATGAGTTCGTTCAGCGTGCGTTGTATCTGCGCTGCAAGTACGCTATGTATACGTCCAATATAGGAGGTCAGCGTATTGCCGCGTATGAACGGCTTTTCCCTCACGAACACATGGCGTACTCGTACCGCGCTCGACCGATGCGGGACCGATGCGCTGCGTATTTATAACTTATGACCTGCGTAACAGCGTACGCAGCGTAGTTTTGTGCATGCCCAAAACTATCCAGCGTACTGGGCCGTACCATGCGTATGCCTGCGTACATAAAACTTACATAAAACGATAGAGATGCATATGAGGTGCGTATTGTGCGTACGACTGCGTATGAAAAAAAGTCAATGCGCAACTCATAAGGAATTAGGATACGCAGAAGTGTGACAGGGCCCTTATTGTATGCATTATGCGCACACATTATATCAGACTAATAAATTCCTAGGTAACAGCCGTACGAAGTAACTGCTGGAAATACGTATAAACAAAGCAGAACTGCCTGGCATGCGAAATATAAAGAAATATTGGCTATTTAGTATTTTCTACGGAAGCGTTAAAGGGACATAAATCAAACTAAAACATTTAAATCATAATTATGACTTATACCTCATAATTATGGCTTATTATTAAGTCATAGTTCTGACTTATGACTTAGAATATGCAATAATTATGACTTAATACTCAGTCATTATCATAAGATATAAGTCATAACTGTGACTTAATAATAAGTCATAATTATGAGATATATATCATAATTATGATTTAATACTTAGTCGTTATTATAAGATGTAAGTCATAACTATGACTTAATAATGAGTCATAATTATGAGATAAGTCATAATTATGACTTACTTTTTTTAGGTTGTACTATGTCCCCTTAACGCTTCCGTAATTATCTCCTTACTTGTTAGACAGTTACTTTTCAGTGTATCTATGGAATGACACAGCAAATGAGAATGATCGCAAGTTTCTTTTGGATATGGGCATATTAGACTGTTTTACTTACTTGACACACACTGAAATCCTGCTGCACATGCACCGCTTGACCCACTGCAATAACCAGTCCCCTTGTCACAGGCTGCGTCGTTGAGACAATGACACTTACTCAGGCAGTTGTCTCCATAGTAGCCAACGGGGCAAACATCTGGAACTATACAACGACAGTGATACCGTGAACAACTAAAGACTTGTACATGTAATAATATCGCTGTGCTTTCATATTTTAATTTTTCAACTATTCGAAATGCAGAATGCATTAGGAACACGATACATACAGAACAGCTATAAATATGTGACGACCAGAATCAGTTATACATGGATAGGTGAACAGACTGACACAATTGGTATGGTTGACGTTAATCGAGCTGTTCTTCAACCCGAGGCGGTGTACCCAAAGGCTATAATTATTATAATGCTTGAGGCAGTAATCTTCTGCCAGCCAGCTCAATTTTGGGCAGCAAAAGAAGCCTCATCGTCTTGGAGGTGATTGGAATGAGGTCGTCTATGACCTGAGAGATGTAGGTGTGGCGTAGCTAGCTGTTTGAAGGGTTAATTCTGATGCATCATGATGGTTGATTGGGTGGGTTTGTGAAGACAGCGATTGGCACCTCGGTTCTCCGTAGCGCATGGCCAATTGAGCCAACGCAGTGTCTTAGAGCTGGTATCGCTTTGACAACCGTTCTGCTCAGTTAGACAACCAATACAAAACTTTATTCCTCCATTGTTTGAAACAAAACAAAATAAGAAAAGATAGCATCAGGCAACTTACTCTGACAATTAGTGCCATCCCAGCCCGCTTCACATCCACTCGGTGTCCCCGTACACTCCCCTGTGTAAGCATCACATTGCCCTGACTGACAGTGACAGGTCTGGGTACATCCAGCACCAAATGATCCAGCAGAACACGCTAAAACAGAAATACACATACACATGTAAGCATTACACTGCCCTGACTGACAGTGACAGGTCTGGGTACATCCAGCACCAAATGATTCAGCAGAACACAATAAAACAGAAATACACATATACATGTAAGCATTGCACTGTCCTGACTGACAGTGGCAGGTCTGGATACATCCAGCAGCAAATGATCCAGCAGAACACACTAAAACAGAAATACACATACACATGTAAGCATTACACTGTCCTGACTGACAGTGACAGGTCTGGGTACATCCAGCACCAAAGGATCCAGCAGAGCACACTAAAACAGAAATACACATACACATGTAAGCATTACACTGTCCTGACTGACAGTGACAGGTCTGGGTAAATCCAGCACCAAATGATCCATCAGAGCACACTAAAACAGAAATACATATACACATGTAAGCATTACACTGCCCTGGCTGACAGTGACAGGTCTGGGTACATCCAGCACCAACTGACCCAGCAGAACACGCTTAAACAGAAATACACATACACATGTAAGCATTACACTGCCCTGACTGACAGTGACAGGTCTGGGTACATCCAGCACCAAATGATCCAGCAGAACACAATACAACAGAAATACACATACACATGTAAGCATTACACTGTCCTGACTGACAGTGACAGGTCTTGGTACATCCAGTACCAAATGATCCAGCAGAGCACACTTAAACAGAAATACAAACACAAGCATTACACTGTCCTGACTGACAGTGACAGGTATGGGTACATCCAGCACCAAATGACTCAGCAGAACACACTAAAACAGAAATACACATACACATGTAAGCATTACACTGCCCTGACTGACATTGACAGGTCTGGGTACATCCAGCACCAAATGATCGAGCAGAACATACTAGAACTGAAATAAAAATACATTATGCGTGAGTGTCATCAAGGTGTTATATGCCGGTTGAATATCCTAGATCAACGGAGTCTGTTCTGGCCCAAAAACACAAAAAGATTACATAGTCATTTCGCATTATGATTTATGTACAAACCAATTCTACAAGGTGAAACTCATCAACTCTGAATTTCACGTTTTCCAACTAATACTCTCACTCTAATCATTTTTTTTCAATTCAATTTAACAGAACATTTATTTCCATACTTTCAACAGTGATAAAGATACAAGAATAATACAATTATGTAAACACTAAGTGTAATGCTAAACGAATGTCACAAAAAGAAAGAGGATAAATAAATAACATAAATAAGTAAATAGATAAATATTAATTGCATGATATGTACAATAAAGATGAAGGCATGGAGGCACTTTCAAGAATCCGAGGCTTGCATAGAAGTGCCTTATTTTATAAGAACATCAACCATTAATATTTTAAACATGTTTGTGGAACATAACCAAATGTGCAATTCGGATCTAAACATTAAACATTACGTATATAGTTTCGAGACGTCCTCACCCACATCACAGTCTCTGCCATGGTACCCAGAGATGCAGCTGTTACCGTACGGGTCTGGCAGACCAAACTGGCTCCCTGTACAACTCTGGATGACGTTACCAGCTCCACACTGAAACTCACATTCCCAGCCAAATTTGTGCATACCACAAGCTGTAGAAAGCAGTGATTACATACAAGAGGTTATTTTAAGAATGTGTAAATGTTGCGGTTTTTGAAGCGCCTCATTAACTTCAATCACAAGAAAATCAAATATGAGGCTGCCACTGAAAGACATATTTTATTAATGAAGTAGTGTGGAATTAACATGAAATAAATTTAAAGAGACACACGTTATACACCCACCTTGCTGTGCTCCGATGAATGATTTTAAATCATGAAAGAGATTTAGTCATTCCTTATTTACTCCAATGCAAAATATTGAAATGCAGAACCTTAAATCGGTACAAAAAATGTAGCCGAAAAAGTTTGGGAACAGGCCTACACGATAATACACTGTGAACTGTTACATTTTAAAAGATAGGCTCATTGGTGAATTAATTAATAAATTGGGAAAACATGATACGAAATGGTCATCTTGTAAATTCGCACCCTACTTGAAAATCAAAAGTGGAAGGAGGTCATGTGTGTACACCGTAAATCATTGGCCCGACTCTATATTCAAGCCTTGACTTATTTTACAACACTCCATTGGAACACAAACATTCGTTGAGCGCGCCAAGCTAACTGCGGCACTTTATAGACAGACAGTCTGACAGACAGTGCAATGAGCTTTATCTGTGAGGCACTTTGATCCTCTAAATCCCTGTGGGCAGATGCAATCTCTTGTCTCAATCTACCCGATAGACAGACAGACAGACAGACCAGGCAGCTTACCTGTGAGGCAGTTTAGTCCCATGAATCCTGGTGGGCAGATGCAATCTCCTGTCTCATCATCACACACTCGCCCATTGTAGCACATTATCACACACTCAGACCGACTGCCCGCCTGACAGACAGACAGACAGACCAGGCAATGAGCTTACCTGTGAGGCAGTTTGGTTCACTGAATCCTGGTGGGCAGATGCAATCTCCTGTCTCATCATCACACACTCCTCCATTGTAGCACAAATCACACACTCAGACCGACAGCCCGCCCGCCAGACAGACAGACAGACAGACAGACAGACAGACAGATCAGGCAATGAGCTTACCTGTGAGGCAGTTTGGTCCACTGAATCCTGGTGGGCAGATGCAATCTCCTGTCTCATCATCACACACTCCTCCATTGTAACACATGTCACAAATCCCAGTGCACTGAGGACCCCACTTGCCTGCAACACAGCCTACATTGTACGAAATAAAAGAATAATTCATGCTTTTTCGTTATGCAGTGACCTTAACTCTGTTTTAAATTTATATTATAAAATGCGAACGCAATTTGTTACATGTATTTGTATATATAGGACCCGTGGATGTTTTGAGGTCAAATAAAGTTGGGAAGAGGACAGACTTCAACTCTTAAGGGTGTGAGTATATTCTGCAAAGAATGAAGAAAATGTTGGAGAGAGAATTAATACAACAGCTCTCCTCTCCGGATATGCACAGAATTAATTATAAATATATACAAATTCCATTAACAAATTTACAATGATGTCAAATTCGTCATAATGACAGGTTTGTTCTTAATAAATCGCCAAAGGGAAGTATCCGAAATAAGATAAGGCAATTCACGACTTTGATTAAACAGGTAAACATAAACACATAATAACATGAATGACTAAAGAATGGCTCGAGTCTGTGGTTATTGGGCGATTCCCGCCAAACGATCGATGACGACCGCCATCTTGAAAATAATCTTAAATCCTATAAAAACAAAATAAACCGTCGCTCTATGTTTTCCTGACCATTTAAATGACAATCCAATATAATACAGGTAGTATATTTAACTTAGAGAATATTTACAGAGATCTAGGAGAAAGAATGATTGTTCCTTCTCTCAAATCCCGAGGGACAATCATGTCACATAAAATACTACAAAATTAATGAAAATGTGAAGAAATATAAGCTAAATGGAAGAGTTGGTTGATAGGTAGGATTAAGGGAATTACTTCTACAAATATAAGAAATAAATGTATAATATTACCTGCAAATAATGAAGAAAATGTTGAAGAGAGAATTAATTGAACATCTCGCGTCTCCGGATATGCACAGAATATTTGGTAAATTTAAATAAGAATGAGTTGGGTGCTAATGAATAACGAAATACAGGTAAAGAAACAAGTAAACCCAAATTTAGAGGGGGGGGGGGTATTTTTTCATACCCGTGACATATATTTTGTTAAATTGTTTTGGAGAGTTTGTGATACGGTTTTAATTTGTGAATTAGACAAGTTTGCGAAAAAAAATAGATAAACTGAAAAGTTTGTTGCGATTAATTAGCCCCCATTTAAGGCCAAATTAATCCCATACCAATGTCCCTCTTTCCCCTTTTTTACATACAAAATAATAATGCAACCGATATGCATGTTTATTATGTGCTACAGTCATAACAAAGGAACATGATTAAATGTACCTCTGACTATGAGTCTGATCATACTGAAATGATTGTCAGCCAGAGTATCAGTATTTCCGATGACAGTATACAGATCCCCATCAACAGCATCAGTAGAGGGCACTGTGAAACTAGCCCGATTGGAATTAGGCAAGTTTGCATTAACAGTTCCATTTCTTGTACGACGCCACAGAGGAGAGCCCCCAGAAATAGCTTGGATGACTGAGAGAGTCACATCCTCTCGTATGTTGACCGTTTTCGTAACCAGGCCATCAACAGGCTCAAACCTCCCTACAAAAGAAAGGAATGGCATGTACGTTATAGATTTGACTAGTAGGCCCGTTGGACGATAGGAATTTATTTTTCCCAGATATTTTACAACATTTCCCATTCCAATTATGTAAATAAGTCTGGTGTATTTCTCTGTGTTGTAAAGCAGAGTTTGGCACATTCGTTTACACGATTTTATCGGACCAAGTATGTTATTGTCATTATTGTTATTACTGGTTTATTATCAAAACTTATTTGTAGCCCGCAGGCTAATATACAGCAGAATACAATTAAAAAAAAATACATTGAAATGACATATTAAAATACATTTAAAATTTGACGCATTAAAATACATATTAACATACATTCACAACTCCCCTCAGAGCACAGTTACCAAAAAAAATAAATTAAGGTAACTGTTAAAATGCATGTTAAAATAAATTCGGATTTTTTTTCCCCCGGCTATTCTAAAAACGTTTATCATTCAAAATCACTGATTCTGATATTCAAATTGTTCCTGCAAAATCGATTAAAGGGAATATACATCATTTGCTTTTGCTGTAATTTTCTGAAATGGATGGATTTGGGAGGTTGGTAATACATAGCAAATATTGTTACACTGCTTTTTTTTACGTTTTGGGTTGGCAGATGCTATAAAAACCAAGAAAAACAATCATATTCCTGTAGTCTGGTCCCCTGACTCCATTTAAGATGAAACGGAGCAATTTATAGACGCCGGGGGAATTGTAAGGTCAGGGAACCATTCAAGCTCTTGTACCCGTTCCTAGGTGGGTAATCGATTGCAAACAAATGTGGAATAACTAAGTATGGTCAATGGGGGCCAGTATTTAGAAAGAAAAAAACACTTTTTCCAACGCTGGTCGGCCGAAAGTACGAAAATACATGTACAACGTTTCTTGAAAAAGACAGTATCAGGTGCCATAATTTTACAGGATGCTTAAAAGTGTCATTCACTAATAGTCCAGCAAGGTTTTTCAAAATAATTTGGTGTTGTTTTTTTTTTATGTTTGCAAATGTTGTAATTTCCCTTTAAGTACCTTCCGAAAAGTAATTTCATGAAAATTGTATTCAAAATTACGAAATTTAACATTGGAAGTGCTCTAAATCGATTTTGCTGGACGAATTTCAATATTGGAATCGATGGAGTTGAGTGTAATTATAATAGCATGGAACAAAACTTATTCCTAGCGCAAAATTTAAATGATGCTTCAGAACCTTAATTAACCTTTGGCACTTTTCAAAAGCAGCTATAAAGCCCTCTTAAAAGACTATGATGCAGATCGTTTGTTATTCATTTTAAAACCTGAATATTATGTCATGTATTAAATCATCACTTACTATTCACACTGTGGATGATGCTGTATACCCTCGTTGTTAACCCTCTATTGGAACCTTCACAATAAAACAGCCCAGTGGCATCATTACTGGTGGTCAGATCCTGTGTGACTATCTGTCCATTGACTGATGGACTACTGCCAGTAGGGAGGGTGGTAGATATTTCTACTGTAGATCCTCGGAGAGCTATCTGGAATGGTCTGCCAAAGCTCAGTGTGGCGTCTGCATCAGGACTGCTACGGAAACAGCTGATGCTAGCCGAGGACTGTGAAGACCCCGCCCCATAAGGTGTGGGTGTGACCACCGTCAGGTGCACTGTATCACCTGTTTGAAAAACAAAGCAAATGCGATATGTGTCAGCTTTTTTTTTACTTCAGTTGTAACACGCACAGTACACATGTATCACGAACAGACACATTCTGCCTGTACATGTATCAATTTGAACATCTTGGTTTGAAGCTTTAATGTGTTTTAAAGAATGATATGGAGATCTGATACATGTTTGGCCGCTTGATTAACACTTATTGCAAGTACAACAGTGTGTGTTTGTTTTTCACTGGTGAGTTCAATCCAGAAATGTATACAGTTTAGAACAAAAAAAGATATGGATTAAACATACCGGTATACAGTGAAGTAAATTCCGTATAATAACAATTATACGTTAAAGTGATCAAACTGAATCGCAATGCATTTCTTTATTGATGCGTCATGACAATGCATTAGCACTAATGACGCAATGCAATAACTTTGATTGTTTGTCCGAAATGTTAATTAACAGTGAACCACATATAAATTATGTACACATCCTTTCTGTAGTCAGATCAGTCAGGAGGATAACTAATAAACTAAAAAGCCATTATGCTAGCTCCTTAAATGTGGTTACACATATAAAATGGCTTCATATGGGCATGTTCACGGGTCTTATAGGTAGTTGTTCCTTCATTAATTTTTAGTTTGAATCGCACTCAGAAAAGGCAGATCCAGGGGGGCCAACGGGGGCCATGCCCCTCCCCCCCCCAAAAAAAAGAACCCTTTTTTAATGACAGCCACTCCGTACACCGGCATCGTTTGCTAAAAAATGCTAAAAAATCTTTTGCTAAAAATGCATTGCGTAAAATGTTGAAAAGATATGAATCTGGGACTGAAAAACATTTTCCAATTTTGTCAGAAAATACCTTGGAAATGTTATGTACTCTCCATAGACTGTGTACTCAACCAAAGAAGTGGCGCCTGAATACTACATTATTTCCACAATTTGTTACTAGTTTCACCTGTTCGAATAGGAGCAGGCGGGATAATGTCATCCGAAGAAAACATCTATTGAGTTGCACACCAACTTTCATCGGTTGCTATGGCATACATTCAGCACTCCAGACTCAAGAACCAATGAGTTGCAAGATCATAGGAGGTAGATAAGCCAACAAAAAAAAACCCCTAATACTACGGTGGCCCTGGAACGACATTTTAATATTGACCTTTTTAATATGAACCTTGTAACTTCTTAATATTGATGTTGTACCTTCGCAATATGCATGTTGCAACACGTAGCTTAATATCGCATTGTGGAAGTTGTTCCTTCTTAATGTGAATGTTCCAACCTGTTAATGTTCACGTTCGATCTTGTCAATGTACACCATTGATCATGCTTGATGTCAACGTTGCACCTTGCTTCTTCGCAATATGAACCATGTACCTTTCGCATTGTGAACGTTTGACCTTGCATCTTGTTAATATCATTGTTGAACCGTCCTCCTTCGCAATGTGAATCATGCATTCTAAAAAGTACGAAGCCCTTGTCAAGCCCTATAGTTAAACAACCAATTATGATGGAGTTTCAATCTGACAGCTGTTTAATGTCACTTAACCTGGGTCTACCTTGTAGTGATTTTTATCATGAATCAAGGCTCTATGATTTATTTCACATATCTTTTATAATTCATGTTCAGGCTAATGAGCGCTGTTTCACTAGAAAAGATGTGTTCAATTCATGAGACTAATTAATTTCTTGACGGTATACTCTCCGTCAATTACAATAATGCAAAACGGTGTTCTGTGATCACGTTAAGAAGGCTTTTATCATAATACTTTACATCCTTCAAGCCCTATTCAGATTTTTTTTGTGTTTTTAATCATAGTTACGAGAGATTTCCGTCGAGATCCGCGTATTTAATTAGTATAAGAGTATGATCTAAATATGTAATTGAAAGAAACATCATTTATATGCGGTGGTACCGTTACGAAATAATATCCACGTCTTATAAAGCATGACAACAACAGTAAGGGCATACATTGATATTTATTACTTCGGGGAAATATCGGGGATTTCACCATGCAACGGTCCCATTTCAGTCAATCATTGTAAAAGCGATAGCGCGCGGGGCACAGGTGGCTTCGGTCAATTATTTAATTGTTTATTCAGTGCATACACCCGCAACATACTCGAGCTTGTCTAGGGACTAGACGTTTTTATGGTTGAATGCGCGATTACCCGCTGAAGCGAGAACCCGCCACCGCGAGAGAGCGCCGCACCACGACCGCACCGTTGCGTTGAGCGCGAATCACGTGTTGCCGGGGCACCCTATACGAAGTTGTTTGCTTGGAGTTCATGCATACATGACCGGTCGTCAGCCAATTGCGAATATTCTTCATGATGCGGTCAGGCGCGGATATCCGGGGGAGGGGGGGGGTACACTCTAAAAACAACTTAGTCAAAATATTGACTGGTTTTCCCAGTTAATGGAAATTGACTAGGAATTTAGTTAAACATGCAAAGTTCCATACTATGACTAGAAACGTAGTTGGGTTCGACTCCAATTTCAGTTTTTGGCATAACTATTTTTCCAAAGACAATAATACTGACTGGAAAAATCTAGTCAGATTGACCGATTTTCAGTTGCACCCAGCTGACCCTGAATGGCTAGTCAAATTTGACTGGTTTCTAGTCAAATCTGACTAATGCTTTTTTAGAGTGTATGTAAGGTTCGAATCAGCAGTAGCCCGAAAACGAAATGCTCGTCAAAACAGCGGGGATCCTCATACTATTTGGTAAGGAGCCCTTGGCGAGTCAAAATTATTGGGATATGGCAAAGATGAAAGTACAGGAAGAAAGAAATCATTACATTCAGAAAGCAAACCGGTATTAATTTGTGTATAGTAAACGGTTGAAATGATTAGATCGGGTTATTTGAAACAATGACAAATTTGCTTCAGGATGCATGTTTTTACATGTATGCCCAACCTTGGGTTATGGTTAGCCCGAACATGAATTATAAAAGATGGGTGAAATAAAACAGAGAGCCTTGAGTCATGATAAAAATCACTACAAGGTAGACGCCCAAGTTAAGTGACATTAAACAGCCGTCAGATTGAAACTCCATCATAACTGGTTGTCTAACTATAGGGCTTGGCAAGGACTTCGTACTTTTTAGAATGCATGATTCACATTGCGAAGGAAGACGGTTCACCAAGGATATTAACAAGATGCACGATCAAACGTTCACAATGCGAAGGTACATGGTTCATATTGCGAAGAAGCAAGGTGCAACGTTGACATCAAGCATGATCAATGGTGTACATTGACAAGATCGAACGTGAATATTAACAAGTTGGAACATTCACATTAAGAAGGAACAACTTCCAAAATGCGATATTAAGCCACGTGCAACGTGCATATTGCGAAGGTACAACGTCAATATTAAGAGGTTACAAGGTTCACATTAAAAAGGTCAATATTAAAATGTCGTTCCCAGGGCCACCGTACATTCCTGATGTCCGCACCATCTAGCACTGTCGGCATTTTTTTTTAAAATCAATGTCATCTTAGTTTTAGTAGTTTAATGCCTAGCCCCAGTAGTGTGGCACGGATACTGCCGCGTTGTATCCTTTACGGCGCAGCAATATCCGAGCCGCACTAGTGGGGCTCTTTTATTCCAAAAGGTCCCATCTAGTATGATTCATTTTAGGTTGCAACCCTCCCCTCCCCATTGGAGGTACCAACAGCCATCAGCACATAATTAAAAAAAAAACATTAGTACATTGTGAAGTTTAAAATACATCTGAAATGGAAAATATGATGATCAAAAAACTAATGACGACGAATTTATCATTAGGCTTTTTCCAAACTTGTGTGTCCAAAGTGTGTCAAAAATGTGCAAATCTATTTCCGCGACTCCTTTTCATAAAAAAATTAGATTTCTCTGTATGATAGCTTGATAAACCAAAGAACAATTAAGGAACAAACTTGCCTGTTACGCTGAAAACCACGGACAGGACAATCAGAAGCGACCGGGTAAAATACTCCATTGCAAAATGTCCACGAACCCGGAAGTTAGCGGGCATGAAATTCCCCGATACACACGGCGACTGCGCCATTGCGCCCACACGCACGGGTTGATAACGAGAAGTCTTGAAGAAGATAACCGCAATTTTGCTCCTCAACAGCAGCACTGCTTGGTGAAACTGAACCTGGTCGTATGTCACATCTTCCGAATTTAACAGAAAACCCTTACAACTTAAAAAATATATGGAACTGAACAACTTCAATTCAGTTGAAATGCTCAACACGTAAACTTGGTCGGGGTGCTCACTGATGCGTGACCGTCAATCCAACATGGTGAACGAAACTTAGTCGCAACGCACTATGCACTTCTAACGAGACAGGTGTCAGACCTAACCATGTTTTGGCTTTGACTGAAAGATTTTTGTCTACGGCTACGGATTCTGACAATGATGAATTAATGACAAAAATTGAAGCCGTAGCCATGAAATGCCCAATTTGAACACGGCTTACTCTGCCTTGTGTGAGGGCCTGTATGATCAACCGACGAATGCTGCAGTGGTGATCGGATTTTCAAAACAATGTTTGAAAGGGGAACAAATAGATTGAGTGAAAAAAATTAAGATGAAAGTTCTACTCCTTGTATATTATTTTAACTTTTGACGTATAATTTCTAAAATGTATTGTAAAATCAGGCATTACAAAGATTTTTTTTTAAAGAAAGTGCAGTAGTTTTTGTTATTAATAAACTTTGGTACAGGCAGAGAAATAACCCTCAGACTTTGCTTATTTCAAATAAGCTTAATTTGCATTAACTGATTAAAAAGTCTCCGTTTAACTTAAAAACTCTAAATCCTTTCAATTCCCTCAAACACACACACTAAAACTCCTCAATCACATGCAAACCCTAAAAACTCTCCAAACTCTTAAAATTCATAAAACCCTGACAACGCCCTAAAACTACAAAAAGTAATTATAAACAACAAAGTAATTATAAACAGCTTACCAAAATTTACACCTAATATTTTGTTTCGTTACAGCTGTTTTGTAACAGATCTTGAAATTAGAAAATCGTGTAATTCACGAGAAAAATTAAACATGTAAAAGTTGAAAGACAGTATGCTGTATAAAGCAGGATCAAACAAAGCGATGCAAATTACTTTATATACAAGCTGCTCCATCACTGCCATAACAATTGAATGTGACTGAAACGTTTTTTTCAAATTACAGCCAAACAACCTAACTATAATACAAAAACATATTACACAACTTGATATCAAAAACACATGAGTAACTATCTAAAACAGAAACTGATAGGCCTGCCGCTATACCTGTCAAAAATTGTATAACGCTCTCCATATACATTTCCACAATTATTGTACATCATAATATTTTTCAAACAATATAAGTGTAAGCATATAATAACATCTGCGTATATGAGCCAGTATTTCACCATATTACTCTTTAACGGCATTGACGTCACTAATTCTTGTCATGAAGCTATTTACAGCGCAATGAAATATTCAACTGTAAAAGTCAGGCTTGTTTTGACATCTGCGTATAATAAAAGCTGATATTTCAACATTACATTCTGCCATTTTTTGGGGACAAAATACAATCGAATGCAAAGTAAAAACAGTCCCACTTATTTTCTTGTCGAGAAACAATTCAAAATGCGCTGCAATATACAGTAACGAGCAGTTTTACTTAATCTCCAGCATATAGAGTACAAAATATTGTAGACAAGCATGCGTCCTCCGCTGATGTCTGAGTTTTGTCCGAGTAGTTTCGATGCTGTCTCTCCATTCAGTTGTCATCCAGCTCGGGGCGAATAATCGAGTACATGTAGTTGTCAGCTTTGGGCAGCATTCGCATGTACATCTGCAGAGACAAAACAGTTTAACCATAGTATGCGTTCAATTCTCAATCAGTTGTTTTAGACCGTAATCACGAGGTTAGACCATATTTTTGATGTTTGTACTAAATATTACAAATAACACTGTACAATACAAAACTTGAAGTAGGCATGAATGAAAGCTGCTTGGACATTATGCGCATCAAATTTACTGCTATCAATTCAAACACTCACATGTTCATTTTGGCTGTCGGCCATACTTGTCAGGCGAGTCACTAGTTTCTTGAAATCCGATCGGTGGGCCGGGTCTTCCCGCCAGCACAGCAGCATCAGGTTGTAGCTAAAAAAACAACACATTTTGGCTGTCATTTTCATTCAACAGTGTATTAAAGTATCTTTGTGTTTCATATTTTTAATTGTAAGAAAATAATACATGCACATGTGGGAGCAACGTGAATAATGCATAGGGACAAACAATATAACAAAACACACCACAAAGATGGCTGCTGAATGCATTCGATCTATGGCCGGACGCTTTCAAAGAATCCTTGGTTTCGTTAGCAGTATAATGTTAGCCTCAAAAACTAAGACTTGTACTTACTCCCACTGCATCAAGGTGTTGCATTCCTTTTGCAACATCCAAAGCAAGCTGAATCAGCTTCTCCGAAGACAGAGTTGACTGATCATCGTCCCCCAGGGATCGGGCATTTCTCAGGTAAGTGCGCAGATCTCCGTTGGGCATGAACTCCAAAGCCACGTACAGAATGTCTGAGAGGAAAAAAAAGAGTTTAATGGTCTACATATCTGTCACGGTTTTAGGGAACGGTTTTGAGAAAACGTTTAAAATTCACTATCAGACCAATGTTTACTTTTAGCGATTTAATTTGATTATATTGAGAGATAAACCCTCTAACAATACAAAGATGGTGTATGATAAATTTGCTACATGCATAAGAAAAAATGTCAGTTTGTTCACGAAGTGCATTTTCCTTCAGCGATTATTGTTAATGGTCATGGGCGGGGGGGGGGGGGGGGCAAAGCACATTGTCCCAAAAAATGTGTAAACTTTTGTTAACATATTTTCAATATATCATTTTCTGAGAGTGGGCAGGGGAACATTAGCCCTACCCCACCCCCATCAAATTCACAGCAATATGGCTTCGCACCTCGTTTTCCTTCCCCCTCCCCCTTTTCCACTTGCCCCCTCCCCCAACCCCGGCGACGCCGATTTTAATGGTCAAACTATCCTTCTCAACTAGACCTACATTATCACAAATCTATACAACAAATAATAAAATTATTAACTCTCCGCTATTTCACTACTATTTCACGCACCTTCATGTAGACAAGCGCCGAGAATACCGACCACGTTCGGGTGCCGTCCAACTTTAGTCAGCGTCCGGAATTCCTCCATGAAGTTCTGCCGGTCATTTTCTGACGCGTTTGCTGTGATGAATTTTCCAATGAAATTAAATGAAACATTTGTCGATCTTTAGTTTTATTGATGAATTCGAGATTGAATAAAAAATTGAAATTTGTTATTGTATGGACTATATCTCAATGAACGCAAATTGAATTGAAGCAATTGCTGTCCACACCAGATAAGGTTCAGAGTTCAAATATTTCGTAGTGCTCAGTTACAGATATTTAACCTACCCATCAGTGTCTTTATTGCAGCTTTTGAAACCTCTCCTCCAACTATCACAGCTCCGTCACGAACTTCTCCAAAGTTTCCTCTGCCTAAAATCTTTTCACCGATGAACATATTCTTAAATGGAATCTTCCTTTCCTGTGCCCAAGATGGTAGGCCTACGTCCACACAGGTTGATGATGAGAGGTTAACACCCACTACCTCGTACGATGTTGGGCGATCATGACCTACCCTCTCATAGTCTGATGCGCCATACTCATTATCTGGAGATATCCGATTCTCATATGTAGTCTGTGGAGAGCAAAAGAAAAATGATGTCGATACCTAATTTCAACTTTATAAAGGTAAAACCTTTGATTAAGACATTAGTGGGTCGTATAGAATTATATCTAGGGAACGTGAAAATGAAAGATATGAATTGATGTTATTGGGAAGACATTTATTTATGACAAGAGAAAAATACATAATACATGACATAAAAGAGTATAGGACATGCATCAGTCAAAGTTCAAGCCCTTCACATAATTCACGCAGTGGCCTATCTTGATATAACACCTACCAGTTCCAGTCCTCCTGTTGATTCAGTTTTTGCAGGTTGTCTTCTACTTTTTCGATGACGCAGAAAACAGATGCACGCAGCCACACCCACAACAATCACGACAATTACAACGACAACGACAGCAATCAGGACTTGGTTAAACTGGCCACCTTGGGGTGGTTGTGGGGGAGCTGACGCTGACAGAAAACAGACACAACGTTAATATTACAATTCCCTATTCATACTGAGTATCAATTAGCAGATTACCGCCACATGCTCCGAATAAAAGCCGTCTAAACAAGGTCAAATATTACGTAACGACAAATTAAACACTACTAACAAAATTAATCGAACTTAATGCTCGATATTCGACATAATAATACCTTCTTCACTGGTAGTCGGTTGTGTAGTTATTGGTTGGTTCTTTATTTGTGCTGTTGTTGGTGAGGGTGGTGGCCCAGGTAGGGTCATTTTTAAAGTCGCAGGACTGCTCGGCCCTTCTCCTCCTGGCCCCTCTCTCACTGCAGCCACGCTAAATACGTACTGAGTGTTAGGTTCCAATAATTGAACATTTGAGCTGTACATAATTTGAGGTGGGTCTGTCACCATCACAGTATCAGCAGCCATCCATGATATGGGGGATGCAAGGGAGTAGTAGACTTTGTATGCAATGACTGGTCCATCTCCTGTGTCCATGGCATTGTAATCCCATGCCTGCCAGCTGACGGTGGCTGATGTCGATGTCACCGCTACTCGTGGTTGCTGGCTCAGCACAGGAAGTTCTGAAACAAAAGAAACAGAGTCAATTAATGTAGGCCTACCATAGTTTGTAATATGAAAAAATAAGAACTATTATGTTTATAACCTTACAAATAATAAGAAAGAGTCTGTGGGAAGGGCAAGGAACAACTTAGCAGCATAAAATCATGCTAAGCAGCCATGATGAATAAGTTGATTTTGACAATCCATCCTAAAGATTGTCTAGTCCGCGTTGTATTTGCCTCGGCTTTCCAGTTCCACTGACGTGTGTGCCATAATACGGTACGCTTCCTACCATTAAATTGTACCAACAAACGTCTTGTAGGTGTGAAAACAGCGAAGGTCAAAATGCCAAAAATGGTGACATTATTTTGTAGTCCAGGTACAGTGAACCTGTTGGTCAAGTCTGCAATGACATTGGCAGAATGATACGAGGAAATGATGGGACCACTGCCATCGGTAGATTTTGAAAGGATGATGAGAAAGGCCGAGAGAGCATTATCCAGATAAGCTGCGCATCTGAAGCCAACATTCTGGGCTGAATTGGTCTTTGATAAAGCTTGGAACTCAGTAATATCTCGAAAACCCCATAAACAGAAATTAATAATAAAATAAAAGTTTAACACTGAAGTCCCCAAAAATCATACCCCATTATAAATTATGCTTTATAATGAATAGTGGTTGAAAAACTGCCTATCAAACTTTCAATGCATCAATTGTCATATGTAAGCAGGCGCGGTTTTAGAGCCAATATTTCAGGGGGAGGGGGCAAGACCCTCCGCACATGAGGTCACCTTATTTTTAAGATTTTTTTTTTTTTCGCTTTTTCGGCAAAATTACTGAAACAGCCTTTGATTTCGTTAATTTACAACCTCTGAAAACGTTTAATAATTATCTCAAATAACAATATCCAATCAAAATGAAATAAATCACGTTCAAATAAATGTTATACCTACCGTAAAATTCAACGGACAAGCTTCGTGTAGATTGCACACTATATAAATGAGTCAAGATACAGTATATTGTCTGACCATGCTGTAGTCCGGATACAGAAAATGTGTTAGTCAACACTCGATTATCATTTGTAGAAGATATAAAGGAATTGGTAGAATCGCTGTCGTCAGCAGATGTGGACAGGATGATGTCGCTTGCTGAGAGAATATATCCCGATGTACCTGCACATATGAAGTCAACATTCTGACCTGGATTGGTCTTTGATAAAGCCTGATGGAACTCTGTAATACCTGGCAATTGCATCAAACAGAAACAATGAAATAATTGTTCAACATTTAATTCCTAGAATAATGCCCTGTGACAAATTCTATTTATGAAACTGACATTGTTATTGCAAGAGTAAAATAAAAACTTTCCTTTAATTATGGCAATTAATAAAATGACGAAGAAATAACTTATATTGGTTAAGAAATAAGAGATTTGAAAGTCTAGGCTATTCCAATGTCTTCCTTCACTGAATTTCAAAGGTTATCGCGCAAAGTGTGTTTTTGGTCTACAAAATTGCCAAGCAATTTGATATTAGGGCCTAACTCTTTTCTTAAGAGAGCAATTACCGTTAATAAAACAGGAACTAATTATTGCTGATTTGCTTACCAAACAGACAGTTGTTGGTTAAGATATCTGCCTGAAATCCTGTTTCACATTCTCCATCTGATCCTACACAGTACTTTGAGTTAGGATCACATGCTGCATTATTCCGACAATGACAGGATCTACTGCAGTCTCCACGGTACGGATACAATCCAATGAGACATGCTTCTTGACCTTCAATACAAATATAATACCAAAAAAACCACATGCTTCAAGCAAACACAAAAACTCAAACATTTCACCCCCACCAACAAATTCAGCCCTGATTTCATTTGTTAATATCTTGCAACATGGCATTGACAGATGTATGAATAGTTAACTTGTACTGGTAAGAAGGTCTCCTTGCTTATCCGCATGTATGGTACAGAAAGAGACATCTAGTATGGCTAATCTTTTCTTTGAGGAATAATTCCGCGTAGTATGATATACGGCCCCATTATTTTATCACCAATTCGTCAACATATGTTATTGTGTGCATTAGGCCTACACCCAGCTAAATTCTTATGTAAAAGCCGTACGTAGTACTTACTGGACATACGTATAAACAAAGCATAACCGCCTGGCATGGGAAAGTAAAGACATATTTGCATTTTTAGTATTATCTCCTAAAGTGTTCGACATTAATGTGTCAGAGTATATACAGACTAAACATATCAGAGTGATCCCAACTGTATTTTGGAAATTGGCGCATAAGACTATCCAGGTTTACTTTTACTTACTTGTCACACATTCAAATCCTGTTGCACATGCACCATTCGACCCACTGCAATAACCAGTGCCCTTGTCACAGGCTACGTCATTGAGGCAATGACACTTACTCAGACAGTTGTCTCCGTAGTAGCCAACAGGGCAATCATCTGAAACTATACCAAAGTCAGTGATACCGTGAAGAACAGAAGACTTGTACACGTAATAATATCGCTGTGCTTTCATATTTTCATTTTTGTGACTTTTCGAAATGCAGATTGCATTAAGAACATGATACACACAGAACAGCTTTAAATATGTGACGATCAGAATCAGCTTTAGATGGATATGTGAACAGCCTGACATTGGTATGGTTGACGCTTATCGACCTGTTTTTCATCTCGAGGCGTTAAATTTGGGACCAAAGTTTATTATTATAATGGTTGAATTCGTAATCTTCTGCCAGCCAGCTCAATTTTGGGCAGCAAAAGAAGATTCATCGTGTTGAAGGCAAATGGAAATGAGGTCGTCTATGACCTGAGCAATTTAGGTGTGACGCAGGTCTCCGCCCTCTCTGAAGGGTTCTGATGGCTGATTGTGTTTATGAAGACAGCGACTATACAATTAAGCCAACCTAGTTTTTTTTCAGCTGGTATCGCATTGACAATCGTTCTGCTCAGCTTGACAACAGATACATATATCTTCATTGTTTGAAAAAGGGATATTAGGCAACTTACTCTGACAATTTGTGCCATTCCAGCCCGCTTCACATCCACTCGGCGTCCCTGTACACTCCCCTGTGTAAGCATCACACTGCCCTGACTGACAATGACAGGTCTGGGTACATCCAGCACCAAATGATCCAGCAGAACATACTAAAACAAAAATACATATACACATGTAAGCATTATACACTGTCCTGACTGACAGTGACAGGTCTGGGTACATCCAGCACCAAATGATCCAGCAGAACATACTAAAACAAAAATACATATACACATGTAAGCATTACACTGCCCTGACTGACAGTGACAGGTCTGGGTACATCCAGCACCAAATGATCCAGGAGAGTACACTAAAACAGAAATACACATACACATGTAAGCATCACACTGCCCTGACTGACAGTGACAGGTCTGGGTACATCCAGCACCAAATGATCCAGCAGAATAGAATTGAAATACAAAATACACTATGCGTGAGTATCATCCAAGTGCAATAGGTTGAATAACCTAGATCAACGGAATCTAATACAAGTTAAGGTGAAAACGATTACAAAGTCATTTCGCATTTAATATGATTTATGTACAAACTAATTGTACAAAACTCTTCAAACTCTGAATTTAAAGTTTTCCAAGTTATACTCTCACTCTACAATCATCATTCTTTTTTCAATGCAATTTTATATTAACAGAACATTTATTTCCTATACTTTCAACAGTGATAAAGATACAAGAATAATACAGTTATGTAAACACTAAAGTGTCATCCTAAACGAATGTCACAAATAGAAAGAGGATAAAGAAATAGTTGAAATTAATGAAAAGATAAATATTAATTGCATGATATGTACAATAAAGATGAAGGCATGGAGGCACTTTCAAGAAGCCGAGGCTTGTATAGAAGTGCATTGTTATATAAGAACATTAACCATTATTATTTTAAACATGTTTGTGAAACATAATGTGTAATTAGGATCTGAAAATCAAACATTTAAATATACAGTTCTGAGACGTCCTCACCCACATCACAATCTCTGTCATGGTAACCAGAGATGCAGCTGTTTCCGTAAGGGTCTGGCAGACCAAACTGGCTCCCTGTACAACTCTGAATGACGTTACCAGGTCCACACTGAAACTCGCATTCCCAGCCAAATTTGTGCATACCACAAGCTGTAGAAAGCAGTGATTACATACAAGAGGTTATTTTAAGAATACTTAAATGTTGCGGTTTTTGAAGCACCTTATTTACCTTAATCACAAGAAAATCAAATAAGAGGCTGCCACTGTAAGATATAATTTTATTTAATAAAGTAGTGTGGAATTAACATGAAATATATTTAAAGAGACACACGGTATACACTCACATTGGAACACAAACATTCGTTGAGCGCGCCAAGCTGAAAGACACTTTATAAATAGACAATCAGACAGACAACGCAATGAGCTTACCTGTGAGGCAATTTGGCCCACTGAATCCTGGTGGGGAGATGCAATCTCCTGTCTCATCATCCCACACTCCTCCGTTGTAGCACATTTAGCACACACTCAGACCGACAGCCCGCCCGACAGACAGACAGACCAGACAATGAGCTTACCTGTGAGGCAGTTTGGTCCCATGAATCCTGGTGAGCAGATGCAATCTCCTGTCTCATCATCACACACTCCTCCATTATAACGCATATCACACACTAAGGCCGACAGTCGCCCGACAGACAGACAGACAGACCAGGCAACGAGCTTACCTATGAGGCAGTTTGGTTCACTGAATCCTGGTTGGCAAATGCAATCTCCTGTCTCATCATCACACACTCCTCCATTGTAGCACATCACACACTCAGACCGACAGCTCGCCCGACAGACAGCCCGACAGCCCGACAGACAGACAGCCCGACAGCACGACAGACACCACGACAGACACCATGACAGACAGACAGACAGACAGACCAGGCAATGAACTTACCTGTGAGGCAGTTTGGTCCACTGAATCCTGGTGGGCAGATGCAATCTCCTGTCTCATCATCACACACTCCTCCGTTGTAGCACAGATCACACACACCTGCACAGCCAGGAGGACCCCACTTGCCTGCAACACAGCCTACATGGGACAAAATTAAAGACTTAGGTTCCACAAAATAATGCAGAACGCCTCAAGCATATGAAATAATTCCAAACATTCCTATACATTATATGATTAGTGTCCTTAAACGTTTTGCTTAAATGTAAATGATAAAATGCGAAAAAAAATGTATTTTGTATTAATTTCGTAGGGTGTGGTTGGAAGTTAGACCCTTGCAAAGGTGGCATCGGCTGGGGTCTATTATTAATGAAGGTACATGCACGTAGAGGATGCTCCTTATACCTGTTACAGAGGGGAAAAGAGAAACAAAGACTTACCTGACGCGAGGTCAGGTAACATACATGAACTGACATACATGTTTTTACCTATTACAGACACGAGCAAGAAATGATTGAAATGTACCTCTGACGATGAGTCTGATCATACTGAAATGATTGTCAGCCAGAGCAATACTAGATGCAATGACAGCATACAGATCCCCATCAACAGCGTCAGCAGAAGGCAGTGTGAAATTAGCCTGAGTGTAATTTGGGAAATCTGAAGTAGCAGTTCCATTCCTTGTACGATACCATTGAGGAGAGCTACCAGGAATAACTGTGATGACTGCGAGAGTCACATCCTCTCCTTTGTTGATCGTCTTTGTCACAAGGCCATCAACAGGCTCAAACCTCCCTACATAAGAAAGGAATAAAATGTTGGTCATGAATTTCACCTACATCAGCTAGGTCTCTATTGGAAAGTTTTAATATTGAAAGGCGAGTTAACAAAACTTGTTAGAACCACACAGAAGCAATGCAGATTTGACTGCATGGCGCTACCTTCAATTCTTACTTAATCTAAAAACAAAATGCATATTCCTTTACACAATATTTATATGGCTGAAAGTTTGAATGCAGTCTTGGTAGAATGTTAACTATTTTCCAACACCAAATTTTAAGCTTTTTTTACCAAGAGAGTACTGATATGACTGTGACCGGTATAAATCGAATCAATGTGGAAACATCTCGGATTCACTTGCCTCCGGGCTTTATTTTTAAATCTGTCGGCAAAATAGAAGAACAGAATTAGACAGTGATGACTATTTCTGCCGACGTCAGAGATCAGAATCCCAATTAATTAAAAAATATACTATTAAATGATAAATGAAATTGTCAAAACTAGCTTATCTATATTATTATTTGAACTTAAGTCCTACTTGGGCTGAGGTAATTCAAAATGGCAGCCGGTCGGGTTTCTTTCTTCCCGGAATTATACATTTTATGAAAGTAAACCGGCAATAAAAATCCAATAGTTGCCAAAAGAACATCGACTAAAGTAGCTTGGCCAAAGATTAAAGGTGGATGGCAACATTACAGATATAAATAATGAAATATTAGTACGTTTACTGGCAGGTTCCCGCCAAAACCTTCAAGGCATCCGCCATCTTGAAAACGTATTTTAGCTTGATGAAATAACTTACAAAAACACAAATATTAAACAATCTTATCAATATAAACGCAAGGAGCATTACTTGCTCTTCCTATAACAGTCAGATCTAAGGAAAATGAATAAAGGGAAGATCTGATTATACTAAATCGGTTTCGAATGTCGGGACTCTCTGGTCCTTAACCAACCTACGTCTCTCAAACTAAAATAACTTCAAAAGGCTAGTTTCTAGAGCCAAATGCAATAGTAATAATACTAATAAGTATGATTAATTTAAATAAATGGTTCTAGTGTAAATATAAAAAGATATTCTAAAGAAATGGAAAGGATCATTACCTGTCGGCAAAATAGAAGAACAGAATTAGACAGTGATGACTATTTCTGCCGACGTCAGAGATCAGAATGATCCTTCGCGGGTAAATTTGAAAGATCGTGCGGCCACAGAGGGCGCTCGAATTATATGAATACATGAATAATTAAACAGGTAAGAGGAATACTAAAGATGCGCTTTTGTTCAATCTGTCACATGACAATAGAGCTAATAGTGTGTCAGGTCAAGGGCGGATCCAGGGGGGGGGGCCAAAGGGGGCCATGACCCCCCCCCCCCCAAAAAAAAAACGAAACCAATTTTTTTTATTTTTTTATGTGACATCGCAATAAAGGCAGGCAATGAGTACACCACCATCTTTTCCTCAAAAAACATTGGCTGAAGTGGTCAGAAATTGCCTCAGATCGCACCACAGAGCATCTAGAATCCGAACCCCACGCCGTAATTTTTTGGACCCACTTTTTGGGGGGACCAAAATTTTTTTGGACTCCCCCCCAAAAATTGTGTTCTGGATCCGCCCTTGTGTCAGGTAAAGGCGATCCTTAATTATTGTCTTGGCCTGTAACATTAATGTACGTACTATTCACACTGTGGATGATGCTGTATACCCGCGTTGTAAACCCTCTATTGGAACCTTCACAATAAAACAACCCAGTGGCATCGTTACTGAAGGTCAGATTCTGGGTGACTATTTGTCCATTCACTGATTGACTACTGCCAGTAGGGAGGGTGGTAGATGTTTGTATGGTAGATCCTATCAGACCTATCTGGAATGGCCTGCCGAAGCTCAGTGTGACGTCTGCATCAGGACTGCTACGGAAACAGCTGATGCTAGCTGAGGACTGTGAAGACCCCGCCCCATAAGGTGTGGGCGTGACCATTGTCATGTGCACTGCATCACCTGTTAAGAGCCGAAAATAATAACAAAATACTTTCGTTATTTTCCTAGACATTGCAAGGGTTCATCTATTTCAAAACTCTTTCTTGCCATGATATGAAACTATTTAATTTTTGTTGTAACGTTTCTTATATTAGCAGCTGTCATAATAAACATTTTGAGACAGAAAAAGACGCTTTTTATCTTGCCTGCTACGATGGAACAGCCAGTCAGTAAGACCAGGAAAATGACAGCAAAATCCGCCATCTTGACAAGTTCACCATGAACCCGGTAGTTTGCGGTCAAGCCTTGCAATATCCCCGCACCCCGCGCCATGTTATGACGTACATCCATTCCGTATGGATGTTTCATTGAATATTTCAACTTATCCCTGGTCACTAAACTGCAAACATGCAGAGTGCGAGATCATCTCAGAAATACTCGGCGATAAACTCAGTTGTTCTTCCTTTGCGAACAGAATTATATACACGGGACTTCAACTGGGAAGTTCAATGCTGCACTGTTTCTGTTCCATACCTAGACGAGACATCAATTGTTAGTTACTCATGCGTGACTGCCACTATTGAAGGAAAACATTGAGGGGAAATAACTCTCGTGATGAATCGTTCTTTCTATAACCCCATTATTGTTATTTTGAATAACGATGACTGAATGAGGAAGTACATGTAAATATATAATAAGGCTCGAGCCTTGTGGTGGCTTCATTTTGATTCAATTTGTGACTTTGGTTTGGGGGGGGGGGAGGGGTCGCTTATTTACTAAACACTCTTTGCAATGGAACAAAATTAATAGCACCTAACACCCTTTTTACTGACTCAATGCTCTGTATTTATTCAAAGGTTATTTAGTTAATGCCAATGAACATTATAGGCCTAACAATAAAGGGACTCTCAAAAATGGAAGTGCTCTAAATCTGAAAGGTGTTTTTCGAGAACTGAGAACTGAAACTCGTTATTTCAATTCCATGCATCTGCTAAGCTGACAAAGCTTACTCCTGGGGGCTTCTTTCAATGGGGGCGCTGTTCAAAGCCAAATTCATGGTCATTGTCAGGGTGACCGTAAGGTCCTGACCAAATTCTGCTAAAAGCACTTACAAAATCTGTCAGATTTATAAAAAAAATCTGTCAAATTCCCCAGAATTACTCGAATACACTATAAACACTTAAAATCACGTGCAGATGTTGTAGTATTGCCTTGATTACGGTTCAAGTTACATAAATAATCTATAGCCTCATAAAGATGTTATGAAATTGCGTAAATTTTAGGAAAAAATGCGTCGTTTCAACCTAGACCAGCCAACCTGTCCCACTAAGGCACTATGCAAGGATTTGTTTGAACAAGTTGAAGCTATTTTAAACAAATGTACCATTTTTCTCAAATTTGCTAAGTTTTCCTGTCAAGTAACCGTTTTTGCGGAATTCTGCTAGAAATCTGCCAAAAAAATCCAATCTGTCAAATTTTCTGTCAAACCTGTTTTTTTAACAAAAATCTGTCAAAGTTAGCCGAAAATCGGCTAAAACGGTCACCCTGGTCATTGTCACACAATCGTTTTAAGCGTTGGACGGGACGTTAAAACTAAGAAACAGCCAATCGCTAAAAACTGGGTTTTCGCCAAAATAAACTAAACATTTGAACCAAAAAGGCCAGTTTCTGTTAAACCCGCTGATCCTGCTTCGTGATTTTCTCCGATTGCCAAATTTCCAGTTGGGGGATGCCTTTTCTACGGCCGTGCCCTGTCTTTGATTTCTTCTGAAAATACTCATCTACTGGTATTCTCGGTCCAACTAAACTTACGTTTAACTTTTGGTTCATTTGTTGTGAAATTGTTAAAAGTGTTTTAGGGCTAAGATACCATTCCATTCAACGTTGATGATTTCTACAGGTTATTTTGAGCATTATAATATCTGGGATTACACATCTCAGCGGTTAAAGAACCTACACACAACCTCCTATGTCTATGGCTACACACCTACGCGGTTGAACTACTTTTCACAAAGAGTTCCAATTGATCTATTCACCAAGAGGAATATAGACATCGAAACTTGGCTTTCGTGTCGCGCTGCGCATTACTGAAGTCCAGTTACATGACATTGCAATATTTGACAGAGAAATAGAACACAGTCGGCGACCCGGAAACGGCGCAATATTGTACCACACACTTCGTAGTTTGCGAAGTGATAACGGAATGCAGAGTTTTAATCCTTGAGTACTGTAGGCCGTAATAACTCAACACAGACACGGATATTAGCAAATGGTATTTTGCATCCAACGATTCTCACGGGCAACTCGGATTTAAAGGTACGTAATGGACACTTCATGTTTCTACAAGTATGAGATTTATCAATTATTTTCTCAAACGAAATCAAATATTCTATGCAACCATACACTGTTTAGCAAACATGTCTGATCAGTGGCGTAGCCACGGGGGGGGGGGGGGGGGGGGCATGGGGGCGACAGACTCCCATGAAACCTTGTCGCCCCCCACTGAGATTTTGAGTTTCTAATAAAATTATCATTGATCTACATGACGCCCCCCATGAAATGTTCCAGCCCCCCCAGCGGCCCCCCCCCCCCCACTGAAAAATTCCTGGCTACGCCACTGGCCCCGGTTAACCATGCATTCCATGGCTCGAACTGTAGTGTGATCCGTTACACTCGCTGGCCCCGTCCAGCTGTTGCTTCCCCGTTACTGTACGTAGCGGTCCGCTCCCGCTTCAGTCCGGCAGTCTCTGCGAAGCGATAGCTCGTACCGTGCCCACTCGGTTCAGCTAGAATCTTTGGCTTACTTGGTTCCCCCAGTTAGTGTTGTGAGACTCCGACACCGGTGTTGAAACCAAGGAAAAGCCTGACGTTGGAGGAATCCCCACAAAGTTAAATAAACCAGTAAAGTCACTGTGTGAAAGCTCTGTTTCCCGCCAAATTCGTTATCATAGATAATAATGTTGATTCTATAAAGTTAATGAACTAATAGGGAATGCAACAATAATTTCAGGAATGAATTGCAGGGCAACTCCGTCGCACAGCCTTTAACGTGTCACCACTTGAAACTTAGAATTGATAGACACATGGATTACAAGATACGAGAACTGTTCGATTGCCTCATTGATGTTCTCCGAAGTCACCGTGTTAAAATTAGAAAAAGTTTTAACTATGAAAGGTTGTGAATCTTTTCTTTAAAAACTGAGGGAGGAATTATTGCAGTCATATTTATTTTATCTTCAATGTAAAATTGTGTCTTATTTCATTTTGTTCTCGGGTATTTTCTTGTTGTTTCTTTAGTGTGTGTATTTAATGTGAGTGTAGACCTTTGTATGTCAACTAGGTTGTTTGTTTTTATGGTTTGCATTTTTCTCTCTGGGGAATGGGATTGCTTTTGTTTCTCGGTTTTGTTTTGTTTTGTTTGTAATAATCTTTTTTTAGCCCGTTTGTCATTCATTCCCGTTATTGAGTCTGGTTGTTTGTTTTGTTTGTTTGTTTGTTTGTTGGGTTGTAAGAGTATTTATTTATTAGTTCGTTTTTATATTTTTGTATCTGTCTGGTTTGTCTAATGTTTCACTCTAAGATTTTTTTGCTGAGTCTTGTCTCATCTCCCCGTCTTGTCTCGTCTAGTCATGTCTCGTCATGTCTCGTCTCGTGTGGTTTCGTATGATTTGTACAATTTACTTTTCAATAGTACTTTAATTTTTATGAATGGAATTTTAAATCTGTTTTATTGGCAGGGGTTTGGATAATCGTCTGATGACAATTGTTTTATTTTACTTTTACATATCCGTGGCAGCCTGTCCAATTTTTAGCTTTTATTGTTTTAAGATTTAAAATAAAATAATTGAATCAAATAAATCAAATAAAGTTTCTTCAAGTCCTTATTACGCTGGAGATTTTCCGATCGCAGTACATATGAGAGGCAGCCCGAATAGGCGCGACCTAATCCGGCCAAATTATGATTTGTATACTAGTTTATCTGTAATAATAAAGAATTTTGGCCCCTGCACTTGAGGGTCTGTATTTGTAGAAGTGAAGGGTCCATGTCCCTGAATTTAGATTTCTGAACAAAACATTTGAATGGAATCTATATAGATATGGAGTGGAAGGAATCTGTTTGTTTTTTGTTTTTTCAAAATGGCGATGGGGTGATCATCGTTGGAGGGAAAAATCACCCAAAAGTCATAAGTCAACCCCCCCCCCCCCAAAAAAAAAAGATTTCCAAAAAGGTAAAGAGGATTAATTCAGCTTTCATTTGATGTATGTTTTGATCACCTGTGAGGGTTCAGAGTATGTTCCCCGATTTGTTTAAATTGGGGTATTTATCTTTGGTGCCTATGGGAATTTATGTATTGGTGTGCACCCTTAAACGGAGTGCTGTAAATTCAGGGATCGCATCAACAACTGCTTTTGAATCACACAGTCATGTTTGTGTACCATACACTCTAAAAAATAGTTGCTCAATATTGGGTAAAATTACTACCTTTTCGAGAGTAAAAAGGGAACATGGTCGTCAACTTGTGTACTTTTTTTTACACAACAGCTAAAGTGCAGAAAAGTACCCATTTCAGTGTAACTTTTACCCATAATTGTGTTACGTGTTTGCACAACAAAGTTGGGTAAAAAAGTTTACCCATGTGACGACCATGTTCACATTTTACTCAATTATTGGGTAAACTTTACCCAACCCTCCTTTTACCCAAGTGTTGTGTCAGTTTCTTACCCAGATATTGGGTTCTAATTTTTACCCTGCACTATTGGGTTCTAAATTTACCCATCACTTGGGTTGTTTTTGAATTAGTTGTTGTGTACCTTTGTTATTGATCCTTGCGGTTTTATTCAACTTTGAACTCTGCAATGTGAATTGCATGCTAGAGACAGCAATCGCGAGGGATTTCAATAACTGAGTCCTGCAGGGTTGGAAAGTCAGTAAAATGAATAAGATGATATTTCCCGAAATATGGTGCTGATGCATAAGGACTATTACGAGGAACGTGGGCTAAATGATGGGCAGGGGTGTTAGAATTTCCCTCAATCAACTCATTCAAAAACAATTCCCCAAATGTCGGTCACTTTACTCCGTGTTTCTAGATCTGAGAACACTCACTATACGGTACATGAAACGTATGCATCATGTGCATGGAATCGTGGTTGGCAGAGCCGTGACGTCCAAGTTGCACATAAATGTCCAAAAAATAAGCATGTTACTTCTCTAATCTCCCCGAAATTAATCCTCATACATCAGCATCCCATTTGGAGGAAACAACACTGAAATTCATTTCACTGACTTATCTGGAACAAAGAAATCACGTCATCAAAATCCCCAAATTGTTGAAGGTCTCACAAGCGGCGGCCATTTTGTACATGAGTGATGACGCGTGCACAATATTGGGTAAACGTTGTCACGTGCGTCAGTTTACCCCACACAGTGGTAACATTTTACTAATGTCATGGTAAATTCTACTCTTCAACGTGTACAATGAAATAATTGTTACACAGCGGTGGGGTAAATCCAGTTTCTTTAACCCATCACTTGGGTAATAACACCATGATTTGAACTCTTTGCCTGTGCTGCAGGGACTTGTAGTCAATGTTGGGTACTATTTTACCCTTTTCATGTGTAGCACATTTGACACAAGTAGGAGGTACAAGCGAAATTTTCATTTTGCTCAATATTGGGCAGAAATGACGCAATTTTTTTACACAACAGTTTTACACAACATAAATTTACACTTCTTTTTTAGAGTGTTTTTTCCCACACATAAACTTTTCATCTGGAAGGCTCATGTCACAGGAATGTCCCATTAAATTGTTTAGAAATTATGTTGAAAATAACATCTTCATGGATTCCCAGCACAACTCCTCACAATAAGCCCAGTGTTAACAATATTTCTCGTTGTGGGTCTGAAAATGAAAATTTTCGGTTTAGGTATTATGAATATGATCAAGGGAAATTATTTATGCAGTATTTTGCCCATTTCCCTCAAAATTGAATATTGTAATATTTTACATTTTTAATCAATTTGCTAGAATATGTGATACCTCACCAACAAGTATCTTTTAACGAAATTCAATCAGAATATTTATCAATATTTTAAATTTATTTTAGTTGTTTTGTTACTTGTTGGTGTCCCTGCCACACTGTACGATGGTGTAGCCGTGCGTTATTAACGTGGATTGTTTACTTTCGTTTTGACGGGGACTTTACTGAATAGAGTCTGGTGACTGTACATAGAAATTTCTTTGAATAGAAGTCGAATCGTTCATTCATGTGCACTTGCTATGCAAAGCAGGGGCAGTGGTTCAAGGATATCTATGCCGACTTGCAGAAAGTGTGCAAGAACGCGACTTGAATGTTTTTATGTGTTCACAATACAACGACGCTGTTTATTTCACTGTGTGACACAGTGAGAAATTTTGGAATCATAATGGCGTCAACGATACTTGCTGGGGAGCTCTTGCGTACGACTTTCTGTACTTTGGTACTGTTGTCTCCAGGACAATTGTGTGTACGGTAACCCGACGTACCCAGATTTTTAAAGACGAAATTGCCGACCTCAAACTTGTTCATGCCATATTTGGCAACTATATGTGCGTTATTAGTTTAATTAAACAAATGAACAGGTTAATTAAACATAGTACCATTGAAGGTACCTAAAAGTAAACATAACAGCATAGAAGACCGACAGACGAACATAAAATGTTACAAAATAAACATATTGTCTGGATAATTTTTTAGGGCGTTACCGGCAAGTTAACACAAACTTGGTGTCAAATAGATCATGGGAGTTACTTTTCTTTGACTTTTCATACAAGTTTACATAAACTTTAATTGTATGACCTGCAGTGGCGTAGCCACGGGGGCGGGGGGGGGGGGCACATCCCCCCATGAAACCTTGTCGCCCCCCCCCCCCCCCCAGTCGCCCTCCCCCACTGAGATTTTGAGTTTCTAAAAAAATTATCATTGATCTACATGACGCCTCCCCCCCCCCCCATTTAATGTTCCAGCCCCCCCCCCCCCCCCCAGCGCCCCCACTGAATAATTCCTGGCTTCGCCACTGTGTCTGATAAAACCCTTAGGCGCAGGCCATTACAAAAAAAATGCAATGAGGATATCCTTGATATGAGGCGGGTAGCGTAAATGCAAGCTTCTATGGGCGGTTGTTTCTTCCCGTTGGTAGTTGACTTTCGGAATTGTAAGACATGTTCTCGGACTATTTCCCAAAGCAAATAGACAAAGAGAAATCTTTCAGTGTTACATGTATTATCAACTGTTTCTTGTTTGTCCCATGATTGGTCGGTCAAGCGTGCTCTCTGACCCGCTGATCACTCCACTTGTGAATTAGACTGGCTACCGTTCTCACTGGCTGACAGTCACGGAATGACAGAAACCGGATGAAAAGTTGATGTTCAGGACTGCATTAGAATTTGCAAATGGAATTGAGCAATTTTATTCTCAACTATTTCAAACGTTTAAAAATCGGAAAGGTTCCATTATAAAGAATGTTCACTTTGTTGTCTCTGGCAGCGCTTTAAGGTATAGGCCCTAGATAGGATCCTTTGCATTTATCCCAAAATTCCCTTGCATATTTGGATATATCTTATTTGGATTACAGATCGTACTTGTATCACTCTAAAAACTCCTGGGTCAAAAAACAACGCGTTTCTGGGTCAAAATGACGCACAAAAATGTGAATTTTTGACCCGGAAAAGGGTTATTTTCGATCCTGAAAAGGACAGTGCAGATGTAGACCCGCATTCTGGGTCAATTGAACTCAATTCTGACCCAGGACTTTTAACACCCCGTGAAACGATTCCGTCTGGCTTGCCGTTAAACACCAAAATGCGACATGGTTGTCGGCTGGAGATAACACCACAAGCCTGATGTCAGTCGGCAAATTCGTGTTGACGTTGTCGGTGTAATGTGGTAAATTTCTACAGTTTATTTTGAGCATTATGTTATCTGGGATTACAAATCTCAACGGTTAAAGAACCTACACACAACCTCCTATGTCTATGGCTACACACCTACGCGGTTGAACTAGTTTTCACAAAGAGTTCCAATTGATCTATTTACAGACACCAAAAGCGTGGGTTTCGTGTCGCGCTGCGCATTACTGAAGTTCAGTTACATGACATTGCAATATTTGACAGAGAAAAAGAACACAGTCGGCGACCCGGAAACGGCGCAATATTGTACCACACACTTCGTAGTTTGCGAAGTGATAACGGAATGCAGAGTTTTAATCCTTGAGTACTGTAGGCCGTAATAACTCAACACAGACACGGATATTAGCAAATGGTATTTTGCATCCAACGATTCTCACGGGCAACTCGGATTTAAAGGTACGTAATGGACACTTCATGTTTCTACAAGTATGATATTTATCAATTATTTTCTCATATGAAATCAAAAATTCTCATGCACTGTTTAGCAAACATGTCTGATTAAACCCTTAAAGGCAGGCCATTACAAAAAAAAATGCAACCAGGATATCCTTGATATGAGGCGGGTAGCGTAAATACAAGCTTCTATTGGCGGTAGTTTCTCCCCGTTGGTAGTTGACTTTCGGAATTGTAAGACATGTTCTCGGACAAATTTCCCAAAGCAAATAGACAAAGAGAAATCTTTGTCAATGTTACATGTATTATAAAGTGTGTCTTGTTTGTCCCATATTGGTCGGTCAAGCGTTCTCTCTGACCCCGCTGATCACTCCACTTGTGAATTAGACTGGCTACCTTTCTCACTGGCTGACAGTCACGGAATGACAGAAACCGGATGAAAAGTTGATGTTCAGGACTGCATTAGAATTTGCAAATGGAATTGAGCAATTTTATTCTCAACTATTTCAAACGTTTAAAAATCGGAAAGGTTCCATTATAAAGAATGTTCACTTTGTTGTCTCTGGCAGCGCATTAAGGTATAGGCCCTAGATAGGATTATTTGCATTTATCCCAAAATTACCCAGCGAGTTTTGTATAAAAAATCTTATTTGGATTACAGATCGTACTAGTATTACTCCAAAAACTCGCGGGTCAAAAAACGACGCTTTTCTGGGTCAAAATAACCCAGACAAATGTGACTTTTTGACCCGGAAAAGTTAATTTGACCATCAGAAAAAGGGTAATTTTCGACCCGGAAAAGGACAGTGCAGATGTAGACTAGCATTCTGGGTCAATTGAACTCAATCGGACCCAGGACTTTTAACACCCCATGAAACTATTCCGTCTGGCTTGCCGTTATTTTTATGAAATGAGTTCTATTAACATAATGGTGCTTTGTGATCAAAAGGTTGAGCATGGCGTTTCACTGGGTTTTTTTCGAAAAGTGTAATATCCATCAAGCTGTACCGTCAAAAGGTTATAGGTATTAAAAAGTCCTCTTTGGATTTTGAAGGGGTAGTGTTATTTGAAACGAATGAAATGCATAAAATGCATTATAATCCAATATGTCTTGAACGTTTGTTGTTAAACCTGAGAGTCATGACTGACCCATGGTGACCCTTTTGGTGATGAATTTTGATGATGGAGGTCCACCTGTCCAAAGTTCACCGGTAGGCAGAGGTCAGAGACATGCCTGTCAGCTCCTTTAATCCATCGGCCCAGTGGAGTTTCTGTCTGCCACGTGAAAAGTCTGCCTTCTTGAAAAGCGGCCAAAATACTGCAGTTTGTTTTTGTCAATCCTTTGGCACACGGTATCGTATCATCGCCGATCAACTTTCTGGCACAATAATTTGTTTTCCGCTCTTTCTCTTATATTCTCAGCATCTTCCGCCTTCACAGCATCTCCAAAGCATTAATTATGTTTCTGTCTGCCTTGCAGTTGCAACAGGCGCGGTTCTAGAGCCATTTTTTTTTTCTTTTGGGGGGTGGGGGGTTAGCACGGTGGATCCAGAATTTTTTTCAGGGAGGTGTGCTGAAATATAGACCGGTTATTTTCGCCGGACACTTCCAAAAATCAATAGGGGGGGGGGGGGGGGCTCGTGCCATATTTTCAATAAGGAGCACTGATAAAAATCCTACAATCAGGCACACTATATTTAAAGTGTACATAATGCACCCTTCTCATGACTATTTTTTTAGGATGAGACCGTTCGCATGTACGTCACATTTTTACATTTTGCCAGTGCAATTTTGTTTATGAATTTTTGTTTGTTGGGGGGGGGGGGGATTTAGCCCCCTTGCCCCCCCCCCAGAACCGCCACTGAGTTGCAACTGCCCATGTTTCAGACCCATAGGTGCATGCAATTGGGAAAACTAGAGCATTCATAACTTGGATTTCTATGGTTCTAGAAATTCCTATGTCCTTCCATATAATTATGTCGGTGAGGGCGATGGCTGCTGACCTTGCCGTGGCGAGATGTCTTGTGATTTCTTGAGAGCTTCCACCATCACTGACAATTAATAGGGAACCCAGGAAGTTGAAAGTATTGACAACTTCAATGTCCTCACCATCAGCTTGTAATTGCTGGTCTATCTTTTCTCCACTTATCATAACTTTTGTCTTCTTAACGTTGAGGTAACAGTTATAATGTAGACATATGCTATTGTCCTTCACACCACAGCCCAGGTAAAAAGTCAGACAGACTCTTGATTTAATAACAAGAAGGGTGTCTTTGCTTTCAACAGGTTCACTGGACTTCTCCTAAAAGACCTGCAGTCACCGATGCCGATGGCTTCAATGATGTTATTTATCCTCTATGCTGCCTGTGTGATAGCGCAGATGTCAACAACCTTCACCAATGCCGGTAACTAAATAAATAATGATCTCCCGCACTCACTTTTAATTGCAATTAAACATGCTCCGTAAAAGTTTCAAAACTTTCCTTCTACCAAAGTATCTTTTAAACTGGGAATGAGAACCACGGAATTCAGGAAGTATTGCAATTTGAGCATTCTCTTAGAATGGTTTCAGTATTAAGTTGTTGTATGAAAAATCATGAAAGAATCGACTGAAGGACGTTCCTGCTTCACTTTACATGACAAAGTTACGACTGTTGAATTGGAAAATAATGTCAAAAACAAAAAGGTTGCATTAACTATAGTCACTCACAAATATTATTAATAACGAAAATGGAAAATTTCAGAAGATATTTACGCATTTGAGGAATCCATCTACACTGTAGCTGAAGATGTTGGTATGGCAACGGTCTACGTAATACGGACTGGCCCTCATGACGCTGCGAGTTCGTCGGTCGGTAAGCATGTCACTGACTCATCTGAGGGGTGCAGTCCAGACCAGTAAATAAACTGCCATAGACCCCAATGCTAAATGCCCCCACTTCAAAAATTTAGAAAAATACCCAAAACTCTCTCTCCAAGGTGTTTGAGGCAAACATCAAATTAAAGTTTAATTCATCATCTTTTATTTTATTTTCAATTTTGGAGGGTAATTAAATGACTTTTGGGAGAAAGTTCCATTCGAAGATGATCACCCCTTAAAATAGTCCTGAAGCCTATCGCCGTTTTGAAAAGAAAAAGGTGCCTATACACTCCATTGCAAAAAGGAGAGCTTTTAAGACCCCCATTTCATCCCAATTTCCCAGAAAAAAAACAACTTTACGATCCTGTGCACGGCTTCCACCCTAATTTCTTTACAAACCCTCAGGTTCATGGCCCACAATATGCTCAAATTCTGAAGGCATGCAAATCGTGATTCGGCCGGCGTAAGTATTTTTGGACCGATTTACTGGGGTCTAGCCGATGTTCCCCAATACTCAATGACTGTGTTCCCCAAATTCCTTAGGGTAAGTGTCCAGGTTAGGGTTAGGGTTCGGGTTCGGGAACATAGGTATTGGAGAACATAAAGTATGCACCCGATTTACTGGCCTGCACCCTTTTTGAGGAGCTACATACATTTTTCTATTGATCAAAACTTACTACTCGAGGCTGCAAACCAGCAACGGATGCTTCATTGGTGTTGATACATATCGAAAACCAGCTTCCTCTAGTTCGTGTGAAAATAGTTTACTTTCTGTTTTGATTACAGATGTTGCAACGTCTGATGGCACGGCTGTGAATGGAACAGATTACACAACCGTGTCAACCACTCTAGACTTTAAGCCGGCAAATAACAGAGTGGCTTTGAATGTTCCCGTGCTGGATAATGGCATAGAAAACGCAGATTCGGACATACACTGTTTCACCTTGACCCTGACGAATCCAAATCCAAGTGGCATTCTTGGGGCAACTTCACAAGTCTGCATCATCGATAATGATAGTAAGACATCACAGTGTCTGTCAATTAACAGATCTTTAATTGATTTATACAACAGCTGTTAGGTGCCAACGCGAACATCGCTCTTGCATTTGCGAGATTTGGGCAACATGTTTGCTTACATTTTTCCAGTGTTGTAGTTTTCGTACTCATACTCGAATGTCAAAGTACTCGTACTCGAAATGACGGTACTCGTGCTTGGGCAGAAAGTTACTCGTACTCGACATGTCGAAATTGTACTCAATCATCAAAGTACTCGTACTCGAATAGCAGAACTCGAAAAATATGGTATAGCTTGACTTACCACGGCCTTATTTTATAGATACTTTCAGCTTGAAACGGTTGATAAGATTCCGGAGAAATCGAATTAAGTTCCTGACTTGTCTCTGTACAAGTACTCGTACTCAGAGACCTATACTTGTGCTCGGAAGTACAATTACTCATACTCGTTCTCGTACTCGGTAACCTACGGTACTCGACAGTACTTTGTACTCGGGAAAAAAACACTCGACTACAACATTGCATTTTTTTTCTAAGTATACAGGGTCTATGTAAATGTTGGATTCTATTTCTAATACCAGTTTATATCACGATGAAGGGCGGTAGTCCCCTTGATATAAGAGATGAATTTTCATTTTTTCCTAAAGAAGGAGACTTTTGGTGATGAACTTTTCATGTGCGTTCGACGAAAGTTTAACCGCACACTAAACTTCCGTCCACTGTTTCAATGGAAAACACGATAACCAACACAAGAGGTTTTTTTGTTTTCATTAAAGATGAAATTATAACATTTTCATTATAAGCAGACAGCTTAAGACTGACCCATGCCCCAACCTAGGCTATACGAACATTTGGCCATAAGCAATTATTGTCAAACACGGTACCAGCAACCTGTATACCTATTCAAGCTTGCAGTCTAGGCTATTCACTGTAAAATCAACTTCGTCAAAATATGGACTGTTTTCCTATTTATTGAAAATGATTGACTAGGAATTTAGTTAAACATGCATAGTTTCATACTATGACTAGAAAAGGTGGTTGGCTTTGACTCCAATTTTAGTTATCTACATGTTCCTAAAGTCAATAATACTGACTTGATAAATTTAGTCAGATCGACTGATTTTCAGTTGAACCGAGATGACCTTAAAAAGCTATGATTTAACTGATTTCTAGTCAAATCTGACTTATGTTCTTTTTAGAGTGTGTGTTAGGCCTATAACTATTTTTTTAAAAAATTCTGTAGATTTCTTTGGTGGTACTTGCCCCCCACCGGAAGCTGTGATAGAATCCAATGGACAAGCAGTCATTGAGGTCAATGTCACCAGTGCTAGTGATACTGCTGTCATCACGTGGACCGACCCTACGCCTGCTGGTGTACAGAGGGTGTACACATGCTTCCCTATACGGCCATCTGATCATGGATGTAACAACGGGGATTCCTTTCCCATTTCATACACATTCACTTCTGATGGATACGACAGAAGGATTCTGGTCACATACACGGTCTATACTACAGTTTCACTAACGATGCAACACAACTGTGATTTTTACCTGCGTGTTCTAGGTGAGTTGTACAAGTTCAGTTTGGTGTTAATCATTTTATTAAGTTATTGCTGCTTTAATGGATCCACGATAAATATTTGTTAGAATTGTGGATACAGATAGCATCATACACGACTGAGAATCAGAGGTTAATTTAATTAGCTAATTATGCCCCATATTTACGGCTGCCAAATAATCTAGGTGTATTAGATGACATTTGATATGTGGAAATAAATGAGAGAGTAACAAAATTTGCTCATATTGTATAATCGTTGATATTTTATCGCCATACCCGCCCTAAAACATCATGTTGCTGTGCTGAGCCAACGCCTGTTACTTTAAATGAGAGAATACACTAAAGACATCATATATAGGGATGCGGCCATCTTGTTATACAAAGAATTATGGTTGGATCCAACGAAGAAAGCACCTTTCTCAAGGAACGTGGTACATTTAGTTTTGGCCAAACATTGCCCTTACTTCTGTAGTTGTGTGAACGGATCACGTATAATATCCATCGGCTTATGTATGGTATGACTATCAGGAGGGACACACAGACTATAGCTGAATCTTCCTGTTTAGTTTTGCCCGAAATAACTAAATGCCATGATGACACTGAGGAAAAAAAACAGTTTGCAGTGTTCGTTTCTGTTAGACGACATGAATTATATTGCTATAAACAACTAAGGTTTTCATTTTTTGGCTTCCGAATTACTTTGTTTCATACTGAACCTCAACAATTTGTCAAGCTTGATAGCGAAATGTATGATACATCCATTGTTTTGTTGTTTCATATTAGAAGATGATTTGAGTTACAATTCTTTGTTCCCCCCCCCAAAGATCCTTTTCCACCGGAGATTACCTGTCCACGCGATCTTAGGGTAATCGCTATGAAAGGTGACCTCAACCGCACCGTTGACTGGATCGAACCAGTCGGCACAGACAACTCAGACGTCACAACTAACTCGTATTCGCCGCCTTTGGTTCTGAACATCGGCTCCCATGAGTTCACCTACACCGCCGTGGATAGCTCTGGAAATGAAGCGTCCTGCTCGTTCAATGTCATTATCACTGGTGGGTGCAGACCATTTTTCTTGTCAAGAGAAGAGAATGATGATCAGGCTTTCATTTTAGTAAAATTTCAAGTCTGATTTATTTTAAACATGTGGCAACTCTAATACTGTAATGTAAGGGAATTTGTTTACATGTAAGTTGATCAAAGAATATGACTGGAGCGGTGTTCCAACCTTCGTTGTGCAGATTGCCGTTCCAGTGGTGTACCAACTGAGCTATCCAGCCGTATGTTAGTGGTTCCAAATTGTGTCAATGTCTTTGGTCAAGGAGCACTAGTTATTGCTTCTGATGCTCCAAGTAACAGTAGTTTCGATGCTGCGATTTTGTTAATATTTCGTTTTAGCCTTCGACACGAGTCCACCAGTGTTCAGTGACTGTCCATCCAGTGTTCCGTCCGTGCCAACTGATCCTGGCTCGAACACGGCCTCGGCGTTTGATTTTGGAGTCACAGTCAGCGATTCAGGAAGTGGTGTCGAGAGTTCGGTGCTGACCACCAACGAACCGTTTGCTCTCGGCGATAACTTCGTGTCCTTGTTTGCTGTCGACTTTGCTGGTAACGTTGCCTACTGCAACTTTACAGTCATCGTGTATGGTGAGCACGAATTGTCTCTAAGTAGTCTAAGATAACAAAAGTAAATCATAATTTTCTCATCATTGTACGGTTGTGGTATTAGAAACTCGTATGGGCTCCGTGCGCCAACAAAGAGGGCGCCCTTTTACCTAGCAACGAAGTCCCATGGGCAGAACATCTAGCCGGTTGACGCGCAACGTTCCTTGTGTGTGACGCACGTACAGCAGGGGATTTGTACTATGTACATGTACACGCAGTGGTACGGCCGCGCGTTACGGCAAAAATTAATTGCAGTCAGGCAAGATGGCGTCTGTCGGTCACCCCCAACTGTTTTTTCTTTGCCGGTGAGGGATTACTTGTGAATGGATAGGGTAGGGAACTTCCCAATCAGCTTGAACTTCATATGCAATTGTATCTCTACGGATGCAAGCGGCAACAGTGCCATATTCACCTTGGTACATCGGGAAAGGGGGAGGGGTAGTGGCGGTTAGGCTTGCAAGCACATGCAGACACATTTAAACAAGTTCTTGAAAAGCTTAGGGCGTTCAAATGTTTCTTCAAAAGGAAGAATTTTTTAGCCACCATTATGACTCTTTCAACAACCCTGTTCTTTTTAAAAGTTGGATGTGACATTCTTTTCTCTAAGTGCATTGGTCGTCTTGGGGATTGTTTAATGCATGCATACACTTCTGAAAAAAAAAAATCAATTTTACTAAATTGAGAAATATAATATAATGTTTGAAACTGTTTTTTTTTATGCTTAACAATATTTTTGATGCATGCTCTTGCCCCTCCTGAATGAAGTTTGTTTTTGTTTTTTGATTAACTGAATCAAAAAAAGCAACTGCTTTTTTTTGATTAACTGAATCAAAAAAGCAACTGTAAAACAATTTTAATTATCTATTACTTAGTTCAATTAACACATAATCGTTGGAGTCCTAGGCCCAAGGTGGACATATATATCATTTTTTTAGGAGGCAGAGAAAGCCATAAGCACTTTCAAGTCGACCATCTAGACTGTGATCTAGTCTTGTTAGTTTAAAACTGCATGTAGGCCTACAGCCTGCATGTGCGTACTGATTCATGCACACATGAAAATTGTATGCAGTGAATTTTTATTCTGGTGTCATTAAACGTTTTTGTCATTTTTTTTTAAATTGAAACTCCAGTTTGTTTGTTTTTTCTCTTCATGCTTGACCTATTTTGCTTGATCTCAAATAAATCAAAATATTGCGTTTTTGTTTGAGCTGCTAAAAAAAATATTGAAATATACTTTGTTCTTTCCCCACTTCCCAAATATGCTACATAGAGTATTGATCTATTTTTTTTATTAATCAAGTTTTAATTTGTTTTTCTTTGGTTCTTCAACTACAGACATGGAACCTCCAAATATAACGTGCGCGCAGAATCTCACTTTTTCAACATCACCCGGCTTACCAACTGCCTACGTGACCTATATTGAACCCGATGCCACTGATAATGTTGGAGTGATGAATCTCAATTGTTTCAATGTTGATAGTAGTGGGCAAGCGCTTGGTGTCGGCACCTACATTGTTCATTGTGTGGCTACTGACTCAAGTGATGAGAGATTGACAGGTGTATGCAGTTTCTCCATCACCGTTGAGGGTAAATTACGATACACAATACACAGAATTGTTTGCATCTTTTTTTCATGTTCCCGTGTTACACAATGTATGATGTTTTCTGGCTTTTGTAATATTCCTTGTGTGTAGTAATTGTTTATGTAGCTCAAAAACATAACATAAAATCCCAATAGCATATTGGAGACATTCTGTTAATATTTATATCAAAGGGGTAATTAGAGAAAGTCACTTGTAGGCCATCATCCTTGGGTTCTGGTCGGTATCAAATGAGGGAATAATGGTAATTGTGACTTTTGGCATAGGTATGCACTCCTGAGGTTGGAAAATAATTATGTGAAAGCATTGCAGCGGTGGCAGCTTTTTCGGTGCTATCACTTAAAAAAAAAAATGGCAGCCAAAACACGCTTGTGATCACATATAATTAATCCGATTCATGCATTTTGGCGGCCATTTCGAAAAAAATAAATAAAAGTTATAACACTCCCAAAACTGCCACCGCTCATACTAGAAAGCTATCACACATTTTCCAACCGTCTAGATGTGCATATCTTGCCAAAAATCGCTATGCAGTTTGCTGTTTCGGTGGCCCAATATTTTGACCGAAGCTGATAGCCTATTTGTCAAGTTTAGCAAGTCCCGGGATTATCATGCTGTTCATGGTTTTTCTTCGTTTTGAATCAAGCTGTGTTTTAATTTGTTTCATCTTGATATCGCAGATAACGAATCTCCTAACATCACCTGTCCTGCCAATGAAACAGTGCCCACTGATGGTGCTGCACCTGTGGCCACATTTACATTACCGCTTCTGGACTCTGTCGTTGATAACACAGGGAATTTTAGCGTCTCCATTGATGTCGCTGGTGCCCAGCACGACATTGGTGGCAGTGTAAGACTAAGTCTGAGCACCGGTGTGCATCTGTTGCAGTACACTGCAACTGACTCTTACACGAACAGTGAAGTGTGCGACATGTTCGTAACCGTGATTGGTAGGTGATCCTTTTCTGTTCGCATTTTTCTTGCAACCGCGCCAAGGTAGGCTTAGCCTTTAGTCAAGGCCCATGCGTCTACCCGGACACGTGACGCGCCCCGGATGCTGGTACGTAAAAAGACTACCCCGCAAGGCAAAGGCAGGCTTGGTGCTGGTTTAAATTAATGATATTGGCGTTTGTTTTAGAACAAAGATTAAACAGGAAAATTTGATATTTTCTAGGGTTTTTTTTTCTCTCTCAGTTGACTTTATTGAAATATGCATGGAATGGATTAGGCAAATCTAAATATTGTTAAAATTTTGATCTCGTTTTGATTTGCAATACTCTGCTCTTATGAATCACTTCATTTACTTGTGAATCGCTTTTAATTATTTGCTCCCTTGGCGGGGACTTCAGCACAAAGTCCATAGTTGACATAGAATCACAATCTGTAATTCTTTTGTATCCCATTTGATTTTCAGATGATGAAGATCCAGTGATTACATGTCCAGCGGCATTCACGGTTGGTACTGATGCTGGCTTAGCCACAGCCAATGTAACCTGGGAGCTAGCCACTGTCATGGATAACTCCATGCTACCCATTACACCTGTAGATGATCCAGTGTCTGGTTCAATCTTACCCCTTGGTGTCACTACAGTGCAGTTTAATGCCACGGATGCAAGCGGCAACAGTGCCACGTGTACCTTTGTAGTGGCAGTCGAAGGTAACGTTATTTGGCAGTTCTTCCCATCTTACTCCTATGAATATTGTATGAAATGAATTGTAACATTTTGATTGGTAATAAACTTCAGTGATCTGCTCATTTGATTTACTGTAATATTTTATTACTGTTTGTATAAGAAATTTGTTTAAGTTACATACTATTTGAGTGGCGTTTGAACCTCCGATCTGCTGATTGCAGCTCCAGTGGCTTACCAACTGTGATATGTATGCCTTTGATCAACAGGCGCTAGCCATGGCTTCTTCTGATGCTCCAAGTAATGTTTCGATGCGCAATATTTTGTTACTTTCGTTTTAGCCTTCCGATATGACTCTGTGACCAGTGTCCAGTGACTATCAATCCAGCTTTCTCCGTGCCGAACGATTTGTGTTTGTTGCCAATTTCAGGCCCCAGATTTTCCTACTTCCCTTCCTTGTTCAAACATGTTTTTCTTACATCTTCACCGTGTTAAGGTGAAGGCCGTGTTACAGTTGTCATTGTTGTCGTCAGCGTGAGTAGCGTAGTACTGATTCTTGTAGTCGTTGCCTGTGGCTGCAAACTGCGGTTGAAGCGTCGTGCACGGCACACTCCGGCGGCCAGCGATGGAGTTGTGGAGATGGTTAGTGTCTTTTTTAATCCTTTCTCTTATTCTCTTCTAAGTTGAACAGAAATTGACTGGGGCGGGGTTTGAACCTGCGACTTCCGGATTGACATTCCGGTGCTCCACCAACTGAGCTATCCAACCCCATACGTTGACAGTGACCCGATTTACCTAGTCTTTGATGTCGCTAGTCGGTACTGCTAATGTAGCTGGGGATCACGACCAAGCTGGCAACATTGGCGATTCTATACCACAAAATGGCGTACTAGGATCACTGAAACTGGATACGGCTTTCAATTATACGGCTTTCAAGTAAAATCTCAAAGAAAACTGACCGCCATTATTAAGATAAAAACAACAGCTTTGTAAACTTTGCAATAACTCTGTCCCCCTGAAATAGAAGTGGCAATAATGACAAACAGTTCACGTCGAACTTAAAACAGTTTTGAACTGACTTTCTTTAATATGAGGAGATAACTGTTGCTTTGTTTTGTTAACACTGCAACATGATTATTTACCACCATTTTTCAGACTACAGTCGATTACGATGACACGGTTTTACCAGACGAAAACACTGCAATTTACGAAGAGCCTGGCCTTCCGGATTGGGCTCAAAGATGGGAAGTTGCCTGGAGCAATCTCACCGTTGACAATAAGATCCTCGGCAGGGGAAACTTTGGCGAAGTGAGAGCAGGGGCCGTCAACGTAGAGGGACAAGTGACCAAAGCGGCAATTAAAATATTGAAAGGTGAAAATGCGTCCGAATTATTTGGCTATGGCTGGAAATTACGCACGTGCCTATGGATGCCGCTGGCAAGCGGCTGCAGTCACTTCCCATAGATCCGTGCGTAATTTGCAGCCGTAGCCATGAAACTCAGACGCGGCTTAGATTTGCCAAGACGCCATTTTCTCAGTGAATGGGGTCGCTGTAACGACGCAAATATCAGAGCCGTCTTTAGTCAAAATATTGAATGGTTTTCCTAGTTATTGAAAATATGCTAGAAATTTAGTTAAACATGCAAATGTTCATACTATGACTAGAAAAAGTAGTTGGATTTGACTCCAACTTTAGTTATGTACATAACTATATATCAATACTGACTGGAAAAATGTAGTCAGATTGAATGATTTTCATGTTATTTGGGGTTTTTTTAGAGTAAATTTATTACGTGTCCATATAGGAAACAACGCAAAATCGGACAAGAAGAGCGCCACCTTGTGAAGGTCATGAGCAAGGTGGCAATGTATGACCTCTCGGACAATATTCTGTTCAATTTTACCATAGTTAGGCTAGCCACGTTTTTTTTTATTACTCCCTCTCCAAAACCACATAAAATAAGAAAAAGAGGCGCGAAGTCAATTGGTGTAAATTTCATGGGTTGGGGGAGGGGGCAAAATGCCTCTGTCCCCCTCTAAAACTGATAAATCGAGAATATGTTAAGAAATACAAGCATTTTTGGGGGAAAAATATTTTTGCCCTCCTCTACAAAAAAAATCCTGGCGACGTCTATGTCATTAGTATTCAGCCTCCTTGAACAAACTAGATTGCTATCCAATTACAGAAAATAGAATCATTTTTATGTATACGACCCGTAATTAGGGCTTGTACATGGAAAAAAAAAACAACCCGTTAAATTACACTGAAATCTTCATTCACTAAATTTTGTGCCTCAGGTCACGTGACTCAGAAGGACAGGGAGGACTTTATGGCCGAATTTCGAACCATGACGAACATCGGATATCATCCCAACGTCGTAGCACTTCTTGGCGCATGCCAACGGGAAGGTAACGCTATCAATTCTGGTTTAGATTTCTTTCGACTTTGCTGATGGCATTTCAAAAGAAAACACGTTGGAAATTAAGTTCAATTATTATAGGTAATAAAAAGCATTTGAAACCGAGCCGAGTATTTCCTACATTTTCTTAACCAATCTAAAACATAGATTTTCCTCATCAATGTATCATCATTTCAGGCGCTCAATCAAATCTCTAAATAAAGGGTTTTCGCTTTACTTTCAAGACGGTCCCTGTATGTACCGTCCAATCGTTGTTCGTATACGTGTATGATCAAACAAGAGATATGAGTTAGAGCTAGGACCCTTTACATTAAAATGCGGCCAACTTCAAAATAGCCGATAGTTTGCGGCATAATCATGAACAACTGCAAACTTGATTTGGGATGGGTGTTTCGTCTTTTCTGTCAGATGTCCTGTACGTTGCATTGGAGTTCCTTCCCAACGGTGATTTGCGCAGCTTTCTGAGGAAGGCCCGCCTACAGTCAGAGTCAGATGAGGATGCCTTGTCGTCTGGCCAGCTGGTGGCTTTTGCTTTAGATGTTGCCAAGGGCATGAATCACCTTGCCACATCCGGGGTATGTTTAGTCATTCGAGACAGTGTCACCTGTTTACAAAATGGTTGGCATGTGAACACAACCGAGTCACTGAAGTGTTTTCCCATTCCAGTCACCAAAGTGGTTTCTCCCATTCCAGTTACCAAAGTGGTTTCTCCCATTCCAGTCACCAAAGTGGTTTCTCCCATTCCAGTCACTAAAGTGTTTTTTCCCATTTCAGTCACCAAAGTGGTATTCCCATTTCAGTCACCAAAGTGGTATTCCCATTTCAGTCACCAGAGTGGCTTTCCCATTCCAGTCACCAAAGTGGTTTTTCCATTCCAAGCACCAGTGGTTAATCCCATTCCAACCAGCCAAGTTTTTTCCCATTCCAGTCACCAAAGTGTTTTTTTCCATTCCAGTCACCAAAGTGTTTTTTCCACATTCCAGTCACCAAAGTGTTTTTTTCCCATTCCAGTCACCAAAGTGTTTTTTCCCATTCCAGTCACCAAAGTGTTTTTTCCCATTCCAGTCACCAAAGTGGTTTCTCCCATTCCAGTCACCAAAGTGTTTTTTTTCCATTCCAGTCACCAAAGTGTTTTTTTCCATTCCAGTCACCAAAGTGTTTTTTCCCATTCCAGTCACCAAAGTGGTTTTTTTTCCATTCCAGTCACCAAAGTGGTTTAAAGCTATTGCAACTGAGGTAGGCAATGTAGCAAAGAGTAAGGGGAAGGGTGGTCGGCGTCTCATGATCACAACGTGTTTGCAAACAGGGTCGCTTGGTGTATTATAAAGAACATTAATCGGGTTAGATTCGTCACCTCATGATCAGTGTTGTGTCAGAGTCTAGTTTGAGTTGATGTACAAGCATTACATCAAAAGAGGTCCACATAAACCAGGTAGCAGTGGCGTTGTGTGGACTTGCCCACGTCCACACATCGTTTCCCCTTCTCTGGAAAACAGGTTTAGAGGGATTTTGGTTTAGGATTATCTGTGGCAAAATGAAGCGAAACACAAACAAAAATCATATAAAAAACATTTGTTTGAAAGTGTTTTGACAGTGTGAGTAAAATGAGGTTTTTTTGGATAGGTTTTTCTGAACTACATGAAAACAAAACAATGTCCACACTAGGTTTGTAACGATATCGATACTTCATTTTTTTTTCCATGTTCACTAGTAAACTGCTCACAAACATTTTCATGAATTTGCGTTTTATCAGATTATTGATATGAGTTTTAGTTTTACCATTATGTTTAAAAATTACATTCAAATATGCAGGTTATTCATCGAGATTTGGCAGCAAGAAACATTCTGCTTGGACGGGGACTGGTGGCGAAAGTTGGCGACTTTGGGCTTTCTCGAGGAGAGGATGTCTACATTCAAACATCCACGGTATCGATTGTTATCGCAGTTTCATTTTAGTTACGCCTCGACATTGTTGCCTCTGTTATAGCCATGTCTCAACCTCGTTTGTTCAATATTTAGTAGGTTTGTAACTGAAAGAACTCGATATATTGTGCACCCATCTCAGAAAAAACCTCGCCACATAGACTACCCAGCGATCACATTTAGAGGCCACTATTGAGGTAGGATCACACTATCCAGTAAGTAAGTGTGACGTCATTTCGACTTAAACCACGCCCACTACACACAGAGTAGCATTGCACATCATTGGAACTATTGGAACCGGAAGAAGTTCCAAGTGACGGTGTCATATGAAAATCGGACTCGTATGAAAATCGGACTCTTCTTCCCTTTTATTGGTTAAACCCTCCCACGTGACCAGTCCCCCTCCTAATTATCTATGCATGAGCATGCGCAATACCACCAATGAGTCCGTATTTCATAAAACCTAAATTCATGCTACAACGGGTTTAGCAAATCGGGGCCACTTATCAGTGGTGCATGCCCGTGTATGACGTAGTCACTTCCAAAACGGGATGGGTCCAAGGAGCACTGAGTGGTTGCGCGCATGCGATCTGAGCGCGAGCGCCGTACAACCTCAGTAATGTCTTCGATAGTTGGTCACCGGGTTATGAGATGGGTCTTCTTCGTTTCAGAGACGCGTTCCTACCCGTTGGCTGGCTGTTGAGTCAATCAACCTTCGCATCTACACCACAAAGAGTGATGTGTGAGTACATTGGAAATCCTTTAATTTGTTTTAGTTTATTTTCAGTTCCTCCCCAGCCAATTTGAGATCCCAGCAACGCCACTTGAATTTGAATCATTTATCTGACCACAGTCATGGTATTTATCGATATCCCGTACTGCCAGTGCCTATAAGTATTCCATGTTGTGCGGAAAACATGTAAGTATAAAGAAACAAAGACCAGATGAAAGCCCCTACCCAATCATATTTCTGCTGGACTTCATTGGGGCTTGAAGCTATTCGGCCACATGTAGTCGCTCAAGTCTTGGTCTGTTATTGTTGTCTAATGACATAATACACCGTGTCAGTTTACCAAGTTTGAAATGCGTAAATTTGTAATGTTCTTTCCGATGTATTCGTAAATAATTATACTATAATATCTTTGTTGTTTCCGAACAGATGGTCGTTTGGAATTCTGTTGTGGGAAATTGCCACTCTTGGTAAGTGCAACACTTTTCCCATTATTCCATAGAAATCCCAGGGTGACAAAGATGCCTAACTAAAAACAAGTAATGATAATGTTTGTTCCTCCATTAATGAATGCAATACGTTAAATGCAAAGCCATTGTTAGTGTGTCAAATACTGCAATCATGTGGGTGATTGTATTTAGGTTTCAATTCATGAGGAATAACTGGTCCTTAGGCCCAAATCATTTCAGGCATACACAAGTAATTTCCGAAATCCGATCAACGCCATTTTGTTACCAATAAGAATCCCGCCCTCTGATGGCTACCCAAGCCACTTTCGACAGGTTTTTTTTTTATAGTTCAACACAATTTAAGAATACAATAAAGCGGGGGGAAATGAAGTTTTGAACAGCTGTTATACCGTTTTTAGTGGTTAAATCGTTAAATTTGCCACTTTTTCAAATGGAGATATCGCGTTTAGGAAATAATCTTACATTCTGTAGATCCACAACTGGTTTGGCCTACTTCCGTTGGAGTACAATTTGGGTCAAATCATAATAATGCATATCGGTTAATGATTTATCATACTTTGTTTCAATTTGATAAAGCACTCACATTCTCACCCCGATTTCACTGAGCTTGGCTTAGTTTTATAACACAGAATATTGCGCTTATGAACACCCATTTGGTGCTTAGTCAAAATAAAAATAAAATCCCTGGTAATTAAATCCAGTTAACCGCTGGTACACAAATATTCAAGAATAGTTAAAGACAATTCTTCGTTAATTATCGCAATCAGAGCTATACGCAAATTGTGCATTAATTTTACTATTGTTATGCTTCGTTGCCCCTATTATTTCATACTCTTTATTCACTGAATTTCATTTCGTGTTCCCTATTCAGTTACTCATTTCGTGTTATTTTCTCATCGACATTATGTTATGTCTGATATTGTCAACAACATGGAAACAAATGTATGCATGATGAAAAACTAGGACAGGGACTCGTGAGTCTGAAAACCATATCCAAACTTTCCCTTCCCGTTGAGAATTTTGAAGGAAACCGTAGACCCTGTTTCTATAGTGTTTTACAGTTTAGTCACTAAATTGTTAACGTTGCTGTGAAAATGAAGCAAAAACGTTTTCCCTCGTTGTTTTTCCTAAAGGAGGAACTCCCTACGCAGACATCCCCACTAAGTCCCTGTCGACTCAGCTCTTGTCTGGCTACCGCATGGCCAAGCCGAGCAATTGTAGTGAGGAAATGTAAGATACTACAAATCTATTTTATGTAATTTTCTAGTAATTTGCATTTATTACAATAAAAAAATACTGCAAAACTCTATCTCTTAAAAAAACTGATTGGTCAGCCTCTTAGCAAGAACTTATACAGGTTTGTTTTGACCCATCACCTATCAAGTCTACAGCAATTATATTTACTAAGTAAAATGATATGTACAACGAGAAAGGATGTGTTTAAAATGGCTTGTAAAGTTGTCTTTGACTGATATTCTTGCAGCAATGTGATATCCCATGCATTATGCGATTTCCATTTGTCCGAGTGCGTCGCCTTAAACAAAGTTTTTAAAATACATATTTCGTCTGTCTCGGAGCCGTTTATAGGCCCACACACAGTGCTTCTGTAGGGCTAATTGCAAAGAGATAATCGCAACTGTGCTGGCAAAAATGATTTGAATACATTTGGAGTAAAATAACAACGATGACACCACAGTGGGTAAAACTAAAACCACATCTCGTAAGATGTTTTGATCCTGGGATATTTTTTTTCTCTGTACATGGCTGTTGTCTTGTCTGGTGCAAAAAAAAACCCTCCATTTTCGCACTAAGTGATATCTGATTTAAATTCAGCTACTCCCTGATGCTGCGGTGCTGGGAGGAACAGTCAGACAGGAGACCCTCCTTCAAGGAACTGATCTCCATCTTGACTCAGATGGACGACAATAAGATCGAACACGTGAGTAAATTGCCAAAAAAAAACACCCCTTATGTTCCACTCCTAAAAAATTAAGCGATGTTTGTATGTATTTTTGGAAGATTTTGAAAATCGCCGAGGTTTTCCACAGCATGGGTATACATTCGAACAACCGTATTATGCTCTAAATAACAGTAACACTTCGTAAAATCTCCCAGTCTATACAACAGCCGATTCTGCTGCATATACAATTTTTTTGGGGGGGGGCCAAAAAAAAATTTGGTCCCCCAAAAAGTGGGTCCAAAAACTTAAGGCGTGTGGTTCGGGGCCCGCTTAACAATTTTGTGCGATCTGAGGCAATTTCTGACCACTTTAACCAATTGTTTTTGAGGAAAAGATGGTGGTGTACTCATTGCCTGCCTTTATTGCGATGTGACATAAAAAAAATTTGGGTTTTTTTTTTGGGGGGGGGCATGGCCCCTTTTGGTCCCCCCATCCTGGATCCGCCATTGCACTATATTAACTAATGCACCCTTGTCACGGCTATTTCTTCTTTAGGGGGAGACCGTTCGCATGTACATCACAATCCTTCTTTTTTCTAATGCATTTTTTTTTACGGAATTTATTTTTTTGGGGGGGGGCTAGACAAAATTGTGGAGGGGGCTACAGCCCCCCCCCCCCTAGCCCCCCATAGAACCGCGCCTGTGCATAATACAATTAAGTCTCTATTCGCTTGTGAAAATAAACATGCGAGTTTTAAGATGTACATGCAGTTTGAATTGCTCAAAGGTGGGTCAGTTATGGTTTGGGAGATCGTTCCATAGTTTGGGAGCAGTGAATTGGAAGGCACGTTGACGGTACGATTTGGTGGTGACTGGATATGGAGTGAGAAGATCTTTGGAACTAGAGAGGAGAGTTCTTGGTGGATAAATATTTGTCGATTATTTCTTGGAGCTAAAACTGGGGCTAATCCATGTGTGCCTTTGTAAATCAGAACCAATAATTTAAAAGTATCCGGGATTTAACTGGTAGCCAATGCAGCTGATGTAAACGTTATGAAATGGGTTCGTGTGAGAGTGTGAGCCTCTCAAACTGCCTTTAAGATGTACTGTCCTTGCTCTTCCAAAAAAATTCGACTTTTATCTTTTGACCATCTTGCACCTTTTTGTACAATGTCTCATTCAAATGTGAATAACTTTTGTATTGCTAGACAAAAAATAAAAAATAAAAGGACTTTTTCGGGGGGGGGGGGGGAAGTTGAACACGACAGACTGTACCTCTTTAGGTCAAACCACTCTGCGAAGACTTCGTTTCATTTTTATCTTCCCTTAGACATATATGGAGGTGAATCGATGCCATTACGAGAACTTCAGTGTGATCCGACCAGAACGTGATGATAACTAATGGAGCGCACCACATGCCTACCAGGGCCGTTTGAAAACAAGTCACAGACATCCACTCTAAGACAAGTAGACTTTTTGTCAGAGAGCTCAAAGTTGCCTGGAACAAAGACGATGTCTAGAAAAGGTTTTTTAAACAATACTTGGTCTTTTGTTGGAGATTATGTGTCGGTAGTAATTTCTAAGAACTTTGAAGTGTTTACCTGTAGGTAGCAAAACTGTTCATGTCAGCAGGTTTGTTGATCCAAATGGAATGTAAATACCTTCCACCATTTTTTCGGGGCTCAAGTTTTAACAAGCTTTTTATCATGTATCAATTGTAACATATTTAATATACATGTTTTTATCTCTGCGAACGGATTAAGACCGTTCCTGAAAATCTATTTAAAACGTACTTTATTCCGTGGCCTGCACATCTTATTGCCCGAACCTGTTCGCTCCTTCGTTTAGAAATAGAAAACAAAACGCTAATAGAGATTCGCGGATGCTGCAGTCCATATGACATAGGAAGTAACTATACATGTAGGCCTACTTTGATTAAGTGTGTAAAATTCGGGCGATTCACAAGGCAGTGCGCCGCCAAGAGAAAAAAATCTCTGACTGCGATTTCTGGCCTGAAAACAAGCCCTCTGTTTGCGGCTACCTTGCAGTAGGGCGCCCCCAACGGGAGTTAATTGAGTTTTTGTTCCTTTTGACCCCAATGGTAAATGCTCCCACTTCAGAAATATGGGGAAAATACTCACAACTCTCCAAGGTGTTGGAGACACACATCAAATTAAAGCTTATTTCATCGTCTTTTATTTTCTTTTCAATTTTCGGGGGGTCAACTGATGACTTTTAGGAGAAATTTCCATCCGACGATGATCACCCCTGAAAATAGTCATGAAGCCCATCGCACTTTTGAAAAAACGATGCCTACACTCCATTGTAAAAAAGAGCGCTTTAAGGGCCTCAATTTCATCCAAATTGAACGGAACTACAAGCTCACAGTCCTGTGCACGGCTTCCACCCATACTTTTTACAAACCCTCAAGTTCATGGCCCACAGCATGCTCAAATACTGAAGATTTTGAGGGCATGCAAATCGTGATTTGGCCGGCGTAGGCAATTTCGGACCGATTTTCTGGTCTGCAACCTTCCACTCCGGAAGAAACATTTTAGGTCCCGCTTCCATGAGCAAAGAAAAATTGTGTCCTCGTACTCCAAAACCAGGCTTCGCTACTTTTGCAACTATCAAAACTTTGAGCTACGAAATCGAGTGTCAGTGACACACCATTATACCAGAGTACTATGAATGAAATTGGGTTATAAATATTATTTACTATACCTCATACATATTCATGATCGAGAGCCAAACTCTCACTGGTCAGTTCACCATCACGTGCCAGATGTTATTCTTGCTGTTTACCAAACGCGCGCGCGAGGATTCACGCGCAGGCTTAATACGCATGCGTAGTAGACTGTCGCACGGGTTACCCGTGCGACAGTCTACTACGCATGCGCTTTACAAAGCAATCGAGGAACTGTCGCACGGGTGTAGTACGCACGTGCGAACATCGCCCAAAAGAGTTGTTTGGTTGCACGGTACGCGGTTCGCGTAAATTATATAATTGCCGGACTGGAGAAAATGAATGGACAATAAAGATGCCTTCTGTACAAAAGAAAGTTGTACACAAACAACTGTATTTACAACTGTAGTTACTGTATTGCAAACAAACCGAACTAGTGAAGTTGAGCAACAATATTCTTTTGGTGAGCTGTTCAAGTTTCTCCGAAAATTTCGTTTTAGGTGCACAATGATATATAAAACAAATCGGCAACTGAATATGTATGAGGTATAGTAAAACAAATATAACATGGTTTATTTCGGGTTGACAGTCGATATTAGCTCCCCTCGGTATTGGAAGTTGACAAACTAGTTCCCTCGGCTTCGCCTCGTGAACTAGTTTGTCAACTTCCAATACCTCGGGGAGCGAATATCGACTGTTCACCCTCAAACCATGTTATATTTGTATAATATATTTGTGTATATGATGAAACCCATCGCTTTGCATCAGGAAGCCTGATGAGGAAGCCGCATTGCTGCATAGAGTACTTGGCAGTAAAACAAAACAAAAATCGTCGCGATCAAATGAATAACAGTCTCAATGTCTGCGCTGAAATGGGGAACCTTAATTTCGAATTTCCATAGAATTCAAGAATATGGACTGCTGTCTCGCTGGATTGATATTCAGTATAGTGGAAGCCCACCCATATATAATTGGCATTAAATAGAATATAGATTTAAAAAAAAAAAATAGAATTAACATATATACATTATTGTGTATTGGCTTTAAGTTGTAGATTTAGAACTGTGAATCTAATATATCAGCTTATATAGCTTTTAATATTATTAGCTTAATATTACAATATATGAAACAAGAATGTTAATATGGAAAATAGAAGGATTAATATTTTAATATTTTCTTCAAAGAAATATTATTCAGAGCAAAGTTGCATGGAAAAGAAAACAAAGACTTTCTATGACAACGTGTTTATACCACCGTAGTTATTTACACTTTCGTAATGATAACCTATATAATATATATTATGATAACGTTCTTAAAGATAACCTAGTACATCAACATTAATGTCATATCTACATGTATTATGATTGTTTATTGTTATGGTTGTCCATAAGATTGAAATAAACAATTAAAAAAAAATAGTATGACACATTAAAAAAAACCCTGTCATGAGAAATCGAACTGAAAGTTTGAAAGTGTGCATATTATACCTTTTATATTGTGACAAAGGAGTTAACTGGGTTTTTTTTGTATTGCAACTGATTCGGCATGACTGAGAAACATATTATGGATTAAAACGTTAACAAACCATAAAATGTATGAAGTGTACATTATTGATAAGAGGCTACCAGATCAATACGGTTGGTCTCATATGTATTATTAGTCACCTCTTATACTCATAATGTGGACAGAACCTTAAAACGGCGGTTGTGTTTAAACTCCGTAACTTGAAAAGTACATGAGTGATTCGAATGAGTCTTGTACTAAAAGAAAGATTATGAATTGGGCTTTCATATCCTAGATTTTGAAAGTGCTACATGCAGAACTTCACTAAAACAATGGTCCCGATATTTGGGTTTCGGGGTTTTTTTTACTCACCCTGTACAGTTTTGTGTTGTCGGTGTGAACTCCGCACTTCTGGCAGGCCAACATCTCAGACACACCCAGACCTCTGCGCACCTCGGCATCATGGGATTTGCTTGCTGATGACTAAGTGCAGCCTGCATGCCTAACTTGACGGTTGCATCAATGCTAACGAATCGGTATGTTTCTCTCTGTCCTTGCAGAACCTCCCGATGCTGCATCTCTCCTACAAGGGTAGTTTCGTGGACTTTGGGTTAGAGCAGCACAGTGGCGCACCGGAGGGGGGGGGGCTTGGGGTCTGGCGCAGAGGTCTGCCCACCCCCCGAGGTTCATGGTTGGTTTTTTTGTAATTTGTTTTTTTTTAGTCCCACGATTTTACCTTGGTGATATGTATGTGGCCTATTTTCGAGTAGTATAATGGGGGTGTAAGTGGCGCCACCAACGTCAAAATAGTCCGCCCCCGACAAAAAACTCAATTTTTTTTCTGCGGCCAAATATTTTGGGCAACATTTTTTGAAAAAAAATATTTAGCCCCCCCCCCTAAAAAAAACCAAATCCTGGGTGCGCCACTTGGCCCAATTTCATAGAACTGCTTACGCACAAAATTTGCTTAAGCACGAAAAAACATTGCTTAGTAAAATTAGGTTACCGGCCAAAACTCCATGTGATGTACATTGTTTGTGACTGGTATTTAGCTGTTGTTTACTTAGCATAACAATCACATGGAGTTTTGGCCAGTAACATGATTTTATTAGGCAAGACGTTTTTGTACTTAAGCAGATTTTGTGCTTAAGCAGCTCTATGAAATTGGCCCCAGGAGCAGCATGACGGACCTGGTTGGCTCATCCATATGAGTTTGACAGTGGAATCCCTGCGCATCTTTGGTGACCCGTCTGCTCCAGTTGCTCATGCGTTGGTCTTTTGTAGACTGTAGGTGAGCCTGTGTGCAATTGACGTTTTTGTGGATTTAGTTTTTGAGGTGACTAAGTGTTGCCTTTCTGAAATCCAGCCTTCTTCCTCTTGTACACACCACGCCCAAATCGCCCCATGTTATCACACTAGAAGTGATATGGATGGGATAAAAAAATTCCCCCCTCTGCTTGGATAAAAAAGTGAGAAGTGCATGTAATTACACACACACACACACACACACACCCACACTTGTTTCACATGACTAGTGTGGACTTTCCATTGCTTTCGTGTAGTTAAGAAAAACCAGTGAAAAAACTCATTTTTCTCAAACTGTGAAAACTCTTTCAACCCAATTTTTTTTCTATGATTCCCTTTAGTGTTTCTCTTCATTCTGCTACAGATAAACCTAACCCAAAAATGCCTCTAAACCTGTTTTCCAGAAATGGGGAAACACTGTGTGGACGTGGGGTAAGTCCACACAACGTCGGTGCTACCTACATTATGTGGACGTCTTTTGTTCGGAAGTCCACACTGCGTATGTAAGACAAGCTCACACCCACCCACCCACCCACCCACACCCACACACACACATTGTCAGGCTCACTTACAAGTGATGTGTACAATATGAATAAACCAGCAAGGATACTTAAGTCCCCTTTGTTCATATTTATTGGGGGGGGGGGTTGGGTGGATGGAAGGCAGTGATGGTGGATGGGGGTGTTTCCTTGACAGTAATTAATCCTCAGCTAGACTATATTGACACAGACAGAGGGCAATTAATTGAAGACAGTCAGTAAACTTCCATAGCCACTTTTGAATGATGAATGGTGAGGGCAGCCTACATGCAGTGGAATCATTCCATTGCGTGTAACCTTCACGAGAGGCTTTCTGGAGAAAACAGTAGTTCTCAGGCCCGTCGTCAAGAGTGGGGGGGGGGGGGGGGGCCTGGTGGGGCCGGGCCCCCCTTTGCGAGCAATCCCCCCCCCAACGGCAAAAGCCGTACTTGTGTATTTCATCACTGTAAACTGACCAGCCCTCTTATCTATTTTAACCCTTTGCCCAGACACTTATACAAACACACCTCACCTCATTATGGAGATTGTAAGCGCTCAGGCATGAAAACACTGTGTATACGTGTACGTACATGAAGTTGAATTTGTTTCTGTATTCAGTAGGGAAAGTTAAACAATAGAGGACAATAGTATCTTTCAATTGTTAATGCCGATCAGCTTGTTTTTATAAAGTGGGGGCCAGCATAAGACCACACACACACAAAATCTGACCTTTAAAGAGTTGGTGACCCTCCAAGTAGTGAATGAGATTAAATATCTTGGCATTGGGTTGAATAGTCGGCTTAGTTGGGATAGCCATGTGAAATACATCACTGCTCGGGCAAATAAGATGTTTGGTATGAAGCCCGGGAAGGGACAGGGTGGATTTTTTATTTTTTTTGTAATTTGCTTAATCGTTCCCACGAATTACTAATTCGTG